GTTGCTTAAAGATTTTGGAGCTTTGAGAAATCTTGTGTAACAGGTTTTCTTTCCCTCGAGCAAGGAGGTTTCCACGTAAACATTTGAGTCATTTACTTTGAGCATTCATCTTAATACTTTTGTACTAGTTTTGTCAAGGGACTTGAGGTGGACTCATACAAGCCATAACGTTATTGTTAGTTCTTGAAGTTGTGGTTGTATATGATACTGTCATATCCATGAAAGCAAGAAACGCAGTTGTTGCCAGCAGAGAAGCATCCAAGAGTATACGTATGGTGCAAACATTAGTACAGAAATATATGAAAAAAATAACAAATTGTGAAGTGGAAAGAAAAAGTAATTTTAGAAGGTACTATTAGACAACTCCAAGCTGAACTTGAGAATCAGTACATACCTCAGATTTGGTGCTTCATAACCTGTAAAGTATCATAACATTAAGAAATTGTTTTCGACATAAATAATTACAATAATCCTACCACAATATGCTTCTTTCAGCTGAAAAGAGAGATATCCAACATTATCAAGGGTCAAAACATCTAATTCCAATCTTAAAAAAAAACATTTGAAATGAAATTTACATGTTTAGATACTACACAAAGAATGCACTAATTCATAGCATTTAGAATTGAAACATTTGTAGTTATAGAAAAGACATAATAATAAACATGACTCTTAGCTTGACGTCAGCGGGCAACTTTGACCCTTAACTTTGGTTGTGTACAAGTAGGCACTTAAACAAGTATAAAATTAATCAAATAGACACATTCGTCCTACATGGCACCCTACATGTCAATTTCGTGTCCTACGTGGCGTCCTGCATGTATTATGACATGTATGACACATGTGTCTACTTGTTTAATTTTATACAAGTTTAAGTGTTTACTTGTGCATACTCAAAGTTAAAGGACATAGTTGTCTATTGAAGTCAAGTTAAGGATCATGTTTATGTATTACGCCTATAGAAAAATCCGCTTAGCTACCAAAATAGCAAACAACACCGATAATGGGACACAAGAAGTAGTTTTGAAAAAAGAAGTGTTGAGTTCTTTTCCTTCTCCCATATACATCTATTTGTCCTTGCTAATCTAATACAGGACTTTGTTGTACTCTACAACTTTTTTCAACTTTGACATTCTCAAACCAAACTACATCAATGTTTTTCAAAAATAAGTTATTCTATAGTGTTTGATTAAAACAGCAATCACATACCACTCGAATCCCACAAGTAAAGCCTGGAAGGATAGTATATACGCAGACCTTATCCTACATTGCCTGAACATATTTGTAAAAAAAAGAGAATTTCCATCAAATGGGGAGTTGACTTCCTCACTTTTGGACAAATGCAAGCGCCTAACACCAAAGGTTGCTTTACAGTAGTCTTTCAATCTAAGCCCGAAATCTCAGAGACACACTTATATTATACTAAGGTCTTATTACATCAAACTTATTTTATAAATAATTTTATATCCTTTTTGGGTCTACGTGGCACTCCTTGAAAAATAGTCAACACTTGCTAGGCTCTAGAAGGTAGTGTCACATAGACCGAAAAGAGATGGAAAATTATTTATAAAATAAGTTTAAGTATAATAGGACCTAAATCTCTGAAATTTCGGACATGTTGGGAATAGTTATGCATTTTCCCAACATACAATAAGAGCACAAATGATCATATTTCTACAAAAACAATAGTATATCACTGTTCCATTGAACATTTACACATTATTATCAACCTTTAACATTCACATAGCACTACCCGATTTGTTTTTTCCACAACCCAACCAAATATTTTTCAAAAAATATCTTCCATGGTACCAAATTGATCAACAGATTCCTCAATTTTTCTGTAGAATAAAGGGCAAGAAAGAGAAATAAAGTGCAAATTAAACAGAACCCAGATGCACTAATTCATAAAAGACAAAAGGGTTAAAGGGTTTATACCATAAACATCGGAGATGAGAAGAATGGCGTATTTAGAATTGGAAGAATCAGACACGTAAGTTTTGAGTCCTCCAAGTTCTAAAACGGATCCATGTCCACTGCTTGAGCTCAAAGCTGGTGGATTCTCGCAGCACTGAGGCCCTGCCATTTTTTGCTATACTGTAAGAAAGACGGTGCCTTTTACAATCACTCATTAATATTTGAGATATTGATAAAGAGAAAGATATAATACATGTATCCGTTCAACTATAAATTTTAATTTTAACTTTCAATTTTCATAATGTACGCACTTTAACTATTCAATTTTTAAATAAATAAATATCATAATGCACAAATAGGACACTTTAACTATTCAACTTTTAAATAAATAAACATATGAGTACTACATGACACAATACATGTAGGACACCACGTATGACAAAAAATGACATATAAAATGACATGTAAGACATGTGTATCTATTTGTTCAACTTTATACAAGTTTAAGTGTCTATTTGTGCACATTCAAAGTTGAAGGTTTAAGTGTCTATTTGTGCACATTTAAAGTTGAAGGACATAAATGTGATTTGAAGTCAAGTTAAAGGGCATATTTATGTATTATGCATTAAGAGGATTTGCAAGCATTGCCAAAATTAACAAACTAATCACAATCTCCCTCTTGTTTTAATAGGAGGGGCTTGAGATGAGACGTTTTATATACTTTTCCGTTTAAAAAATTGAGTTTTTCTTTTTTTTTTGTAATATTTTAATTTCAATTTTTCACATGGCATGTTTAAGGCCACAAGATTAAATGATAGTTTTGTACATTTGACATAACTTTAATTTAGGATGACAAGATTCAAAAATAGTTTTTATACTTTTAAACTATGTCAAGTCAAACTAGGTCATTCATTGTGAAACAGACAAAATAGAGTGAAGTGAAGATAAATCTCGACCCGAGTGTAAGTCTTATGATTTACGAGTGCAATCTCAGGTAAGGAAGTGGCTGGAAAATTATTCTGTCAAAGAAAGGTTCAGAATCGATTAAAATTGGGCCTGGGATGGTTAGCTGAAAAGTTGAGAAAGAGGAGTCCCAATTAAGTACAATCAAAATCCTTTTAGATGACTTTTCGCATACTAAAAAAATGAATAAATTACATACGAGATTAAATAACACAATATATTATTTAAACTATAACAAGATAAACTAATAAATTTCACTATAAACTAAAGATCCGAATTACAAGTTACTAAGATTAATTTAACAGAGCGATAAATAAGACTAAAAATCTTTTTGACGCGATTTTCAAATATGTTATACAATAAACTAATCATATAAAGACATATAAAATATATCACTTAAAAATTATAAAAATCGATCAAAGCTACTTTAAAGAATGACTCAAAAAATATTTGAACATTTGTAAAGGTAATTATTTTACCTTGTTTGGAATTTAAGAAACTCGTAAATTAATTTATCGAGGAGGATCAAAATTGGACGTCAACAATAACTAATTGTTAAGAAGGTAAAAGAGTATAAACTGAAATGTTATTAACTTGTGTTAATATCATGCAATTGCATATATTCACTTAGCTCAGTGATTAGGTTATGAGATTATTGGTTATTAGCTTGGGTACCACATCTGGTACATACTAATGGTTGACACACGTACTACACATGATACATCATATCTCTAATTAGTTGGTTCGGATATTATATTTGACATATATTCACTTATTTCAGCTACCATTTCTGATAGGAGATATCTTATTAATTAGCTCGAGCACCATGCTGGTACAAGTTTATTGACAGTAAGAATAGACATAAATACTGAAAAATCAAAAAAATAAAAAAATTAAATCAAATTGAACTAATTCGGTTCTCTAATTTCAATTTTTGATTCAATGTCAGTGTTAATATATATATATATATATATAGTTAGCACAATAAATGTTCCATGTCGTTTAAATTTAGGTATCTTATACTTTTATTTTGTCCTCATTTTATTTTCTATTCGCCCCAAAAATTGATTTAAAATCACCGAACTAAATCGAATCGAACCAAATTAGTTTTTTTTAATATATGGTGCACACTTTTCTAAAATCTAAAATCAAATAATCGAATAAGTTTAATAAAACTAAATCGAAGAACCGAACACCCACCTCTAATTGATTGTTAGATTGAGTACCTTGATACGTATGTTTTCTCTATATGTTGGTTCTATGAGTGGATCAAGTTTATATATTGTGTACATATTAATCCTTGAGTGAACTTAGGAACATAGTGTATGCATCCAAGGTGATGGGAATCAGTGGCTAAATAACCGAGGGTGGATTGTTCAACTTTTATGTTTTCTTTTGATTATTTACATGCTATTATGTTGTGAGTTCTAATCGACTAACAATGTCTATCAATATATATTATTTGTACTGATACTATTTTTGTTGTGCTACTTGACATAGTTTGGTTGAATGATGTGTGATGTTTCTTAGGTGAAGACGATGATGATATGCAACAACCCCTACTCATCTTTTCTTGGAAAGAGTTGTGTTTTATTTCCTTTCATAATTTGTATTTTCTTGGAAGCTCTTGTACTTGTTTAGACTAGTTTTTACGAAAAATTTACGAATGTTTTCAAAGACAAGTTGTATTATGTTAAGACTAGATTTTTTTTTTGAATCGAATAAGTGATTTGTTAATTTTTTATCCACTTCTGCGGGTCTTTTTAGTTCAAAATTGGGTGATAAAGGTTCTCCTATCCAGGTGTTAGAATAGGTGTCCATACGACCCGATGAATTTGAGTCGTGACAACACAATAAACACTTAAATTTATAAAGAATTGTACAAATGGATACATAAGTCCTTAATGACATTTTATGTAACAATTCACATCCTACACGATATTTTAGGTGATATCATATATGTATAATATCATATAATTATACGTATATTTGTTTAACTTTATACAAGATCAAACTACATTATTCTTCTCCCATTCGGGACCTATGATTTCTCAAAAATAGTCTAGTTTGAGCTAGAACAAACAATTCAAGGACGAATATAAATTGTGTACTTAGACACTCCAACAATTTCTTTCCACCGATCACCATAATCAACATCATCAAATGCATGTCAAACGTGACACCACGCGCCACTTGACCGTCTGGGCCTAGTGTAATTTCCTCAGTATTAGCAGTGCTATTAGTACATAGCAATTGAGTATCTATATGGGTCTTTGCATTTCCCTATATACGCGCTAATATTCAGCCACGTGGTTACACGCTCTCCCCCATCTGCCCTATAATAGTTTTCAGTCTCCATCTCAGGTATATCGACTGTCTCAATCTCATTCTTCGGACTCTCCGACTCCCTCAGTTTCATGCTTGTAAGTTCTCTATCTCTGCCTACATTTGATCCTTTTTTTCCCTTTTTTCAAGCTGAAATCAATTATCTGTTGTTCATTGGATTGTTCAATTTTTTTTGGCTAGAAGTTCTGCATTTGTGGTTTGTCTGAGTTAGGGTTCATCTGCGGAGACATCTGTTTGTTGGTGATTTTTAAAATTTTTTTCTATAACTTGTTATAGTAGAAAAGGATGCTGTCAATGTTTCCAGTACTGGTTTGCCTTGAACTGACTGAATTTCAATTTAATTTGGGAATGCTATTGATTATGTGTCCATTTTGGGTGTTCCTTTTTTGTAAAAAAAGATAAAATTGGGGGTTGGGGAAGGGGAAATGGGAAAGGGAATTACAAGATGGGGAATTGAATCATCGCCAACAAAACTAGGTGATTTTTCGATGTGTTTGGGTTGCTTTTGTGCAACTCGACTAATTACACCTCCTAGCTCTCGGAGCGACATGTATCAGATAACTCTGTCCGTCAAGGTTAGGATAGATAGGAAGAATCAACTAGTGTTTTAGTCTCCGCTAGGATTTGAACTTGAGACCACGGGATATGTGGTACCTCCCACCAACAATAGGTACTAGGTAGCTCTGTCCATCAAAGCTAGGATAGATGAGATTTCCCTAGGTTAAATAAACAACTTGTTTTGGCCTTTGAGTAGTCTTAGATGTACAATATACTCATTTATGGTAAAGCTTTAGAATATGCTCACAACAGAGAGATGCTCTTGTGTGGGTGGTAAAGCAATAAATCTCCATGTTTTAAGCTCACACTTTTGAGATAATATTTCCTAGTATCCTTTACCCCCTTTTCCCTTCCTTTCTGGGTTGCGGTCCTTGTGGAGAGGGGTGGGTGGATTTCTTTTTGTTGGGCGGGGCGGGGGGGGGGGGTTTCAAAAGGCGGCTGATCACCATGGCCAGAAGAGAGGGTATTGGTTATTTGTCATATCATGCAACATCCTCATCTACATATGACTGAAAGCCTTGTTCAAGTTCTGTCTCTGATTCTTTCTCATATATACTCTGTTTTTTTGTAGGCTCACGAGTAATTTGGAGGTCGGTATTTAAATCCACTAAAAAATGCCGGTCAATCCAAGAGTAAAAAAGGCATTTCGTGCTATGAAAAGTATTGGCATCTCTGAGGAAAAGGTGAAGCCAATCTTGAAGAGCCTTCTAAAACTATATGACAAAAATTGGGAGCTTATTGAAGAGGAAAATTATAGAGCACTTGCAGATGCTATATTTGAAAACGAGGATGCAGAGGTTCAACCAGTCCATCTTTTTTTTTTCGCTTTTCTTTCTCTCATTTTTCTGGTCAAGTCAGTGCTTTGTTTTTCTTCTTTCCTTAAAAAATATTAAACGTGCTCAATGGAGTCTGAATTCTCTTGATTGACATCCTATTGCAGGTGGCAGAACATAAGCAGCCTGAAAATAATGAAGTACGTGCTTTGGTATGTTTTCATGTGTTCAATCTAAGTCTCCCTGTAATTTCTATAGGATCTGTTTTTTTTTCCTTACCCACTTCTGTTGTACTTTATTGGTCTCTTAGCCGCTCGTGCAGCGAGAGGAAGTTTTAGAGGAAGAAGCAGTGTACGAGGAGCCTGAAAGACCATTAAAGAGATTGCGATTAAGATTTCAAGAAGGTCAAGCTTCACCTTCCTCTAACAATTCTAGTGCCGGGACTTCTCTTAAAAGGCCTAGGCGGGAGGAGGAAGGTGAATTATCTGGACCTCGTTATCAGAACCAATTACAAGGGGAAGCAAATCCTAGTTCTGTTAGGAAAAATCTCAGGTTGAACGAAACTCAAACATCTCCAATCACGTCCAGGGGTCAGAGTTCGGTTTCTGCAAAATCTTCCCATGCATCAAAACTCAAAGAGCCAAAGACAGAACCAGGTGGAGAATTGTCCTCTAAACAGAAGATGTCGGGATCCCTTGCTTTAATCAAGCCTAAGGATGAACCATATACTGATGATATGCCACTGTTTGAGGTTCCGATTGCTGTTATTCACCCAGGTATTTAATCTTGGATGGTCAAATGTTGATATTTACCGTGTCACAAATTATTTTTCTTGGTTACAAAATCTTGCTTGGCCAATATACAATTTTGTTTCTCTATACTGGAATTAGGAATGAATACAAGATATAGCTAGATTGGTTTACATAGTTTACCCATTTCGTATTCTGGAAGTATACCAATATATTTGGATAGTGCTCTTGTCTAATAGAAGCTATGGAGATTACAAATTTAAACTTTGACATCTTGGTGGATCTCTGCGTGGGATCTTGATCATTGTGCATAAATTGAGCTACACAGTTCATAAACTATTGTACCTTCCTTGGTCTGTGATATTCGTTTCTTGGGAACATCTACAAAGTTTTCCCTTCTAAATGGCTTTGTTTTGATTCTGCAGAGCCGTCAAATAAGGGAGATACTTCAAGTGGTAACACCTCAAGGTCTGAACCTTCAGCGATAGACCTAAGAAGTGTAAGGGATTCAGGCATTATGACTTCATTGAATGTAATGACAACCAGTCGTGAGCTGATAGAAGTCCAGGATAGATGTCACGTTGATGGAGATATTGCCTCCTCACCATCTGGAGAGGTAAAAATCTCTATTAGCTGTGACCCAGCTCTTTGTAGATCATCAGATTTCCATATGCCGAGTGTAGAATCAGTTCTGAGGATGGTGGAGCTTAAATGTCTTAAATCATACAGAATTATGGACCCTAACTTTTCTCTGATGAAGCTGATGAAAGACATGTGTGAGTGTGTTTTGGAACTGGGAACGCAACATAGTCCTGAACTGCAATCAACCAAAGATGTTGCTGCAGAAAATGATTTTGGCTCGAGAAGCATGACCGTTAATTCCTTAAATGAAGGTATGAATTTTGAAATTGATGCTGGGGATGCTCAACCAAAGATACCCCCACGCTCTCCTCCTCGTATTGGTGAAGATTGCATTCAAGCTGGTCAGATTGCATCAATGGGCAACTGTGGTAGTACTACAGGAACTGATCAGAATGGTATTGAGCAGACTAATCCATGGAGTATGGACGCTCCATGTGGATTAATTCTAGGTGAAATAGGTTCTTTTGATTCCTTAAATGAGTTGCTGAACTCTGATCTTGGTGCTGGGGAAGCTCAACCAGAGATACCCCATCTCAATTCTTATTTTGGTGGAGACAGCACTCAAGCTGATCATACAGCATCAACAAGCAACTGTGGTATTGCTCCAGATACAAGTCAGAGTCGTCTTGAGGAGATGGTTTCGTGTGAAGCGACTCCACGTGATGTTGTGTCTGTTGAAGTCATTGATATAACCAAGGGGCAAGAAAATGTTGTAATTTCTTTGGTGAATGAAGTTAATAGCAATCAACCACCATCATTTCACTACATAGCTTCCAATGTGGTTTTCCAGAATGCATATGTAAACTTTTCTCTGGCTCGTATTGGAGATGATAATAGTTGTTCAACTTGCTCTGGTGATTGTTTATCATTGTCCACACCTTGTGCTTGTGCACACATAACCGGCGGTGATTTTGCCTACACAAAGGAAGGTCTTATAAAAGAAGAGTTTCTTAAAGAATGTATTTCCATGAATCGTGACCCCAAGAAACACTGCCAGTTATTTTGCAAAGTGTGCCCATTGGAAAGATCAAAAAATGAGGACATTATAGAAGCTTGTAAAGGTCATCTGGTGAGGAACTTCATAAAAGAGTGTTGGTGGAAATGTGGCTGTAGTAAACAATGTGGCAACCGTGTAGTACAGCGAGGAATAAGCCATAAGTTACAGGTACGACATGTGTATGTTGCTTTTGTATTTTATCACGTTCATAATAGTTAATGCTTTAAATTTAACTGCTACTGTGCTTGTCCTTTGAGTTCCACAAGCTCCTTCCAAAACCATAGTTGGGTTTCCACTATTAGCTTGCTCTATACTTGTTCCTCTTCTTTCAGGTCTTTATGACTCCGGAAGGGAAAGGATGGGGCTTGCGAACCCTTGAAGACCTTCCCCGAGGTGCTTTTGTCTGTGAATATGTTGGAGAGGTTCTGACCAACATAGAACTCTTTGATCGTGTTGCACGGAGCCCCAATGGGGAGGAACATTCTTATCCAGCCCTGCTGGATGCTGACTGGGGTTCAGAGGGTGTCCTAAAGGATGAAGAGGCTCTTTGTTTGGATGCTACATTTTATGGGAATGTTGCCAGGTTCATCAATCACAGGTAAGTTCGTGAAGATGGATCCCAAGTGTTATCTTTTTCTGTATCTCTCCAGCTTGGGTGGGCTTAGTCATTAAAAACAAAAACAGCAATCTGATTGAATTTGGGTCTAAATTTCTGTGCATTTGCCCTCAGGTAAGTCTCCTACTTGACTTTGAACTAGATTTCAGTGCATCTCTGAAACTTCTGTATTTTTCCCTTACTTTTCAAATTCACGCCACCTTCCTTTTTCACAATTAACAAAAAACCAAAAATTGATAATTCATATTGCACGTCAAGTAAAGCCCACTATTGAGTGTCAACTGTTCAATATCCTTCCCATTAAACATCCACATCCTGTTTTATAAATAAATTCTGCTCATTTCATGCTTCTTCTCTTACATTCCCACATTTAGCTCCTTTAACTACTTCGCCTTTGGCAGACCGGAGAGACTATGTGCCTGGCAATTTGCATCCTTGTCATTTAAGAATATTCAAAAACAAAAATGTACAAACAAACAATAAGGAAAGATGGCAAAGAGAACCATGCATTTTGTATTTGGATGATGTTTAATGATACATAGATGTCGGGAACATATGTTGATGCATTTACTTTTTTAATTGTTGTTCTGCTCCAGATGCTTCGATTCAAATTTGGTTGAAATACCAGTTGAAATAGAGACTCCTGATCACCACTACTATCATGTATGCTCCCTGGATCTTTTAACTTCATTTCATCGTCAAGAGCCATTCCTTCACATTGATAGCTTTGTTGGATAATTTCATATGATTGCTTCTTGCAGCTTGCTTTTTTCACTACAAGAAAGATTAAGGCAATGGAGGAGCTCACTTGGGTGAGTAGGTCTTTATTTCATTGTCACATGCTCAGGTTCATTGTATCAATGTGAGCTTGTTTTGTTGCTCTTTGATTTACTGCTATAAGTACACTGGTCTGGTTTGCTTCGGAGCAACTTTTATGTGTTTTCTGATCAGTGTGCTGACAATTCCATTTACATTGAGCCTATGTCGCGCAGACAATTCTCTTCCTCTTAATCACTCTTTCATGGCCACATATCTCCCTGGCTAAGAAATGGGAAATCTTTCTCCTGTTACATGAATCCAATTTTCATTTCATTGGAAAAAGCCACATTTTTTCTCAACAGACTTTTGTTACATATATATTTGGTTGGCCCCTAGACTTGAGAGTTGGGAGGAGGCCCCATTTTAGTATTGTGCAGCTAATGTCCATAAAAACAGCAGCCATTTGTGCTGAAGTAGCTTGTCCACCTAACAAGGTATAAAAAACTAAAAGAGTGACTTGATAAGGCTTTAGGCAGAAATGACTGAACGAGTTTTCAAATCAAAGAAAAAATTATGCCCAAAACCCTGTGTCCTACCCCAGTAAAACAAATAGGAAAACAAAATTAATGGAATTTGTATGTTTATAGGGCCTTGCTAACCTACTACATGCTATAGTAGGCCAGCATTGTACTCGCATTTTAGTTTAATATTCATCGAGAAGGCTTCTTGGTCATTTCAGAATTTCCTTTTTTCAATTCAGCAGAGTTTGAGAATTTGGCTTCCTGGTTTGTTGGCAAATGTAACTTTCTGTGGTATCAACTTGACCCCCCCCCCCCCCCCCCTCTCTCTCTTTCTCTCTTCTCCTTTTCTCAATCAACAGAGTTTGAGAATTTGTTTCCTGGTTTGTTGGCAAATGTTACTTTAATATTATATCAACTTTAAGATTACATTTAAGAATACATCCTCTAAGTTTTTTTCTCCAGTTGTTTTCATCCAAGAAAAGATTGTTTAGTTCAAATGTATTTTCATGGGTATACTCATTGAAGGAAAAAAGAAATGGATGATGCAGTACTCTAGAAAGAAAATTTGGGGATATTATCCATGGGTGACATGTTTCAAGCAAAATTTATTAATAAGAGATGAGGTGAGTTTAGATTTTGGGTAAAAACTATTTAGGGACTGGTACAACAAGGGCCACTATTGGCAGGCTTGATTCCATCATCGGTGGCAAGTCTGCAGTACGGCATCTCCCGATATCCTTGTCATACAACCAGAGTTGGGTTACAATTGAGGGGGGTCAGAAGAAAAGAGGGAAAGGATAATTGGGTTTAGAGTTCTAGTTAAAAAGACAATAAAGACCCTCCTATCAAGGTGTTGTTAGTGTGTTCGCAGGGTTGCTTTTAGAATTAAAAAAGGAAATGATGCTATGCAGCAGGTTAGAAAAACCCATCTATATATGTTGTGTATAACGCATATATTTTCTTTTATCAAGTCACGTCTTTATTTGCTTTTCAAAGAAAGGATAGGTAGATGCTTCTCAATTTTGGTTAATTTCTTTCTCTCTTAATTTAGATCTTGTAATGATGTGATATATCTTGAAGATATGAAAGTGACGTTTGTGTTTTAGGTTGCTCTAATCATAAAGAGTTGAGCACAATGAAAGTCTCCTCTTTACTCGGGAATTATGATTACCTATGTAGATCGTTAATGGAGTGAAATCATATTTAGGCCCCTGATTTTGAGAGTTAATTCAAAATGTCAACTTTCTGTGTTTTTAGTATTGCAATTGTCAATAACACTGAGCTATGTCCTAAATATGCCAAGAAGCAGCATAATTAGATGAAATTTTCGTTGATATCATTGAGAGAAAACATAAGCAGTAATTTGAAAATGCTCAAACTTACCAATTGAAGTAAGTCAGTAATACAGAAATTGTTGCTCCAAGGAGTGGGGATGACTGACTACTCCATTATGACATGAATATTAGTAACTAATGGTGGTTCACCATTTCAACGTGTACTCTTTTTGTGTCGTGAGTGTTTGCCTGGTAAATTCAAAAAGGTGCTTGCCTGATGCATCCATACCATTCAGATTATATGCTTTGCTATTTGTTTATTATCTGCTTGATGAACTTTAAATTTGGCTCTTGCAGGATTATGGTATTGATTTTGATGATCTTGAACATCCAGTAAAAGCATTTAGCTGCCATTGCAGTAGCAAGTTCTGCCGAAATATGAAACGTCCAAGCCGTAAGTAATGTTGGGAATGATCTCCTAGTTTTTATGGTTAGACTTTTTGAAAATTGTCGTAATAAGTTGTAAACTTGCCCAAATACTCAAAAAGAAAACATGAATTGTGCCAATCTGCAACTATTGGATCCAAAGAAGACAATTTTTTTTTTAGTGTGTTTACAGTTTCTTAACGTAAGTTGGTAATTCTGCCATCCGAACAGATATTACCAATGGAATTGGTGTTATGGCTTGTCACTGGATTCCTGAAAGAAAATGTAGGATCAATAACTTTGTTGGTTCATTAAGTTTCAGCAGATTCCTAGAAGGAAAATGCAGGGTTAGTAACTTTGTTTGTTCGTTAAGTTTTAGTAGATTCCTAGAAGGAATTGCAGAATTAGTAATTTCATTAATGTTTACCAGTCAACAACAACAATATACCTAGTGTGATCACATAAAGTGAAGTTAGTTGAGGGTAGAGTGCACAACCTTACCTCTACTCAGAGGTAGAGAGGCTGTTTCCTATAGACCCTTGGCTCAAGACAAAAATAGTCTAGAAAAAGTTGTCATGGAAGTATAAGGGACAACAAATAATAACAAAAAACAACATATAGTAGTAGAATAGTATGGATGTACTATTATCTACTAATCTTCTACCCTAATCTGTGTCCTCCTAGTGTTGTCTGAGGCACGCTTAAGCCTTGAAGCGAAGCTCGAAGCGCGTTGAGCGCTTTGCCATATTTAATGTGCTCATCAATACAGTAAGTCATATTTTCCTTACGAGTAAGCCTTTTTAAGCAAAACTAAACCATTAATATTTCACTATATTATTATTATTATTATTATCATTGTTATTTTTCGTAGAACACAAAGACAATATACCAATTTCCTTGTCATATTATTCCAAGAATAAGAGCTACTTGTACGTGTACAAGTAAATCTATATAAGGAAATAAAATCAGAAAATATCCCTGAATATATCTAAGATCCCTAAAGATATCTACCTATAATTATGTACATTTTGTAACACTCCCCCTCAAGTTGGAGCATAGATATTAATCATTGCCCAACTTGTTACAAAGATATTCCACCCGAGCTCCATTCAATGCCTTCGTGAATACATCACCCAATTGCTCTCCCGTCTTCCCATAGTTTGTAGCAATCACGTTCTCTTCAATCTTCACAGGATAAAGTGACAATCAACCTCGATATGTTTTGTCCGTTCATGATACACTTGATTTAAGGCAATGTGTAGAGCAACCTGATTATCACATCAAAGTTTTGCTGGAAAAGAAGGATTCAAACCAACCTCAGCTAAAAGGTGTACATGTGGACTGAGCGATAGCTCTATACTCGGACTTTGCACTAGATCGAGATACAACGTTTTGTTTATTACTCCTCTAAGATACTAGATTTTCACCAACAAAGACGCAATAGCTAGTGTATCAATTCTTGATCTTGCCCAATTTGCACATGCAAAACAACACTAGTATGTATGTCTGTGGTCCCTCTACAATATGCCAAGGCCAAGGGATCCTTTCAAAATACATAGAATTTGTTTTTAAGATAGCCCAATGTTTGACTGTTGGTAAAAACATGAATTGACTAACGATACTGACTGCATAGGCAATATCTGGATGAGTAGTTTAGTTTCCCAACCGACCTTCTGTATCTTTCTAGGTTATCAACAGGGTCAACATCATCCTTTGTAAGATGTGCATTAGGAGCCATTGTTGTGCCCCACAGTTTGCTCCCAACTTACCCGTTTTTGCAAGTAGCTCAAGCACATACTTTCTTCGAGATAAGAAAATCCCTTTCTTGCTTCTAACTACTTTTACACCTAAGAAGTATTTCAGTTGTCTCAAGTAAACTTGGCATGTAGAAATTGCAAACTGCTTGAGAGAAGAAATTGCAGTACAATCATCTCCTTTAATCACAATATCGTCAACATAGACAATTAGAAGAAAAATATCAGCTATTGATTGTCTGTAAAAGGCTGAGTGATCACACTTGCTCTTCTTTAACCAAAATTCTTGAACTACATCCGTAAATTTTCTAAACAATGCAAGATGACTCTGCTTTAGACCATATAGGGATTTTCTTAGCTAACAAACTTTTCCATATTCCCCCTGAGCAACAAACCCAAGTGGTTGCTCCATATACACCTCTTCATGGAGATCACCATGAAGGAAAACATTCTTGATATCCAGTTGATGTAAAGGCCAATGTTGAGAAGCAACCAAGGAAATAAACCAACGAATAGAGGTGAGCTTAGCTAAAAGGGAGAAAGTATCAAAATAATCTACCCTACAAGTCTGAGCATAGCCTTTAGCCACAAGTCTAACCTTAGTCTTGCAATAGAACCATTAGGATTGACTTTGACGATAAAAACCCATTTATAACCTACTGCTTTCTTTCCATTGGGTAACTCCACCAAATCCCAAGTATGATTTTTATGTAGAGCATGCATCTCTTCAACCATTGCATTATGCCATCCAAAATGATTCAAGGTTTCTTTTCTGTTTTAGGGATAGTCACATAGTCTAGAGAGCCAACCAAACAACTATGCAGGAGATAAGTGATCATAAGAACAAAGTTAGCTATGGAATATGCGGATTTGCACTGACGTGTACCTTTTCGAAGAGCAATAGGAAGGTTCAAATTTTCTAAAGGATCAAATGGAGAAAGGTCTGATGATGGAGTTGATGTAGGGTATGTATCATTAATCTATTGCCTCATTGAGTAAACTTGAACAATTAGTGGTCTTGCTGGTCCTGATTGAGTAGGTTGTGAAGGCATAATGGTCGATAGATGCTCAATTTAAGAACTAAAAGATTGGGGGAACTATTTCAGTTGATTGTTCTGTTACAACACGAGTAACCTGATAGGCTAACCACTCATCTTCGTCCCCTGACTTGTAGAACTTAGAGGTGCATAAAAGAAAGGTGTAGTCTCTGAAAGTATTACATCAGTTGATACTAAATATTTACCAAGTTCAGTTGAACAACACATTCATACCCCTACTGAAGGCGAGAATAGCCTTAAGAAAACACGCTTTAATGCTTTAGGATCCAACTTGTTAATAGATGGTCGAACATCTCGAACATAACACGTGCTTCCAAACACCTTAAGTTCCATTGGAAATAATGATTTATTTGGAAAAGGAATATTATAAGGCATTTACTGCTAATACAATTGATGGCATGCGATTGATCAGAAACAAGCAGTAGAGATGGCATCAGGGAGTAAACACTTTAGATCTGCTCTTCATATGATATATCTAAGTCATTTAAGAAAAATCATCTACAAATGTGACAATATTTATGCCAATTTTCGAAACAACGGGACAAGTCCCCAAACATCAAAATTTCCTTACTCAAAAGCTCACTCAACTATCTTATTAATCCTTGGACCTAATGAGATGTGATAGTGTTTTGCAAATTGGCATGACTCTCATTCCAATGAGGAAATATTTTGCAATTGAAGGCAAAACTTTTTCAACAAAGGTAGCTGAGGATCACCCAATCGATAATGTGCCTCAAATGGAGACACGACACTAAATTAGGCAATAGATGGAGACTCCCACTCATCCATGATATAAAGATCATCGGACACATGTTCTTTTCCAATAATGATAAAAAAAATGAGATATAACAATTAGGTTCTCTCGTAAATTTTCTAACAAAAATCAAATCAAATGCCAATTTTAGTAGACTTGGCACTTATGACGAAGTAATAGATGAGGTTGGTTGAACAATACTAAATCCAACGCTATTACAAGTTGATCTATTAGCTATAGTAACAAGAGAGGCTGCTTTGTGTGATTTAAAACTAGTAAAATATTAGGATTCCTTGTCATATGATTTGCGGTACCTGAATCGATCACCCATTTGTTAGAAGAGCGGATGAGACATGTTTTATGTGTTCCTTGTCATATGATTTGCGGTACCTGAATCGATCACCCATTTGTTAGAAGAGCGGATGAGACATGTTTTATGTGACCTAAACTAAGGAATTAACCGGATCGGATTCCTTCAATGATTTTTGATATTGAAAAAAGTTGGCGAACTCCTCGACCGAATCTAATTTGTCGGATAATGAACGTGAAGCAACAACTTTGAACTGATCTATCATTTTACTAGCTATATGTCAAAGTGATTCAAAATCCCCAAAAACAAACAACAACCTAATAACACAATAAAAAAGAAACGGATAGTAGCCAAACTCGATGGCTCTGTGGAAATAATTTCCCAAATAAGCTTCAAATAGCCTCCAACAAACAATATCAAATCACAAGTTGGTCAAGCAACAATTCCACTGCTACACTCATAGGCAATTTCCATAATAAAGTATAATTAGCAACAAACAGAGAAGTCTCAAACCTGACCAAAGAGGGTCTACAGATTTTGTTTGGAGGTTTTCTGCTCGAGAAAAAATGGTCCTATAATTAGGGGATCACCACAAGTCAACTAGAAATGACAAGCTAATGTCGGAGAAGGAAGCCGGACCAAGCTTGGTCCACTAACGAGCTTCTACACCAGCTTCTATGGTTTTATAGATCAAGAGAAGACCGTCCTTCTTTGGTTGGTGGCAGAAACTAAAATCAAGTTCACTCACGTACATTGCTCGAATTTCGACAAGCTTTCTAATTGACAAAGAACATGTAATGCTTTGATACCATGTAAAACACAGACAATAGACCAATTTCCTTGTTATATTATTTCAAGAACAAGAGCTATTTGTTGGTGTACAAGCAACTAAGGAAATTAAATCAGAAAATCTCTATAGATACTATAATTATGCTATAAATATTATGAGTAGATTTGATTTATGTACATTGTATCATTTTCAAATTCTTAGTTGATAAATTTGTCATTCACTAGTAACTTGACACGTGTGTTGCATATGTGTCCTATGGAAGTAGTACAAACAATATGAATCATATCAAAACGGTAGTGTAATGAGTAATTAAATAATTAAATGAAAACGGTACGAGCTGAAAGTACCTTGAATTCAATTCAAAACATATGCCACTTACCTATACTTTGAAATAAAAAAATCTACATACACTTGATACTTCAGTTCAATATTGCCTACAAGCAAATATGAGCTGAACTTTTCCTCTGAAACCTTTGGACATTGTGAAGTAGTTTCCCAAGGAATACTTCTTCCATCCCATTTCATGTGGCACCCTTAGACCTGACATAAAAGGTAAGACTTTTGAATTTGTTGCTTTAAACAATTCTTAGATCAGTGTTGTGAAAAGCGCGCTTCAAAGCGAGGTGACACCAGTGCGCTTCTTTCTCTTGAGGCGATGCGATCTGAAAAATGCGCTCGCTTCAGATAAAGAAGCGAAAAGCGACACTAAGGCAAAAGTGCAATAAAGCGCGCTTTTTATAAAAAAAGCGACAATTAGGGTTTTTTTTTATAAAAAATAGTTTTTTTAAAAAAAAATCTGAAATATACAATATAACTTAATTTTTCTTTCACGACTCTTCTTTTGCTTCTTCTCTCTTCACAACCGCGACTGAGACTGTGTCTCTCTTCACACCTCGACCGCGACTGCAAGTAAGTTTTAACCGATGCTTGTTAGTTCATCTCTGTGAGTTCCTTTTCCCCTGAAATATACAATCTTCGCCTTTGCGTCATCTCGGTGAGTTTCTTTTCTCTTCACGATGCAACTGCTGTAGTTTTTTTTTTCTTCTTCTCTTCTTCTCTTCATCTCTGCTGTGATCTGCTCTGTGTCTGTTCACAATTACTGATTGCCGCCTCTGTTTTTTTCAATTCTTTTGCTTCTTTTTTTTCGTTTTTATTTTGTGATCAATGTGTATGCTAGAAGCTCTTTTTTTAATTTTTTGACACTTCTGATGATGAAGAAGATGATGACCAATTATAACCCTTGGTTATGGCACTTGAAGAGTTTGAGGATCTTGTTGAAGTATAGGAGTTTGAGTATTTGTGATTTAATTATGTTTTTGATTTTTTGCTTTATATGTTATGACTTATGAGTATTATTGACTATCTATTTTCTTTTAATCTAAGACTATATTACCTCTATTTAGATATTTAATATTTTTTTTATTTTTATACTAAATGTCACTTATTTTTTTTAAAAAAAAAGCGTGCGCTTTGCTTCACGCTTCTGTGGAGCAAGCCCTCGTCGCTTTTTTCCGCTTCTCGCCTCCCAAAACACTGTCTTAGATATTTGTGTGGCTGAGAATCATTTCCTTGAGAGTAAAAAGGGAATTTTAAAGTTAGATTATTTCTAGTAAGGTGACATTTTTTTTGGGACAAGCTAAAAAGGAAAGGGTGTCACATGAAATGGGATAGAGGGAGTATGATATATGTGAGAATTTTAAGTTGTAAGTAACAAAACAAAATGTAAGTGGAAGAGGCATACCTGCTAAGTTTGTTTCATCCAATGCTTGATGTCTATTCATATAAGATGTTTAATGACTAAAGGAAATATAAAATCATCCTTGATTGTGTTGGATTGATGAAGGAAAATATTGGGCCAAAAACGACTACAATGCCATAAGTTCTGTACATGTACAAATTTTTGGAAGGTTGTAAATGGTATTATTAAGTTTGGGCATAACATTAACTAAAGCAACCAAAAACATTGCGAGTGTCTCTACAAATTTGAAGAGGCTATAAGTGAAATTATTAACTTTTAGCTTAAATTTAAATAAGACAAGAACTTGTGGATTTTTTTTTTAGGAATTTCAAGAGGGTGCAAAAGGTATTATTAGCATTTACCATATAAGATAGGGATTAAGGGTAAGTAACTAAAACAGATGAAAAAAAGAATTACAACTAATTAGTTTTAACATGCAACTTCTTATTTACTCACTTGAATATGTAATTTAACCTAGTGTACTTATAATTTATTATTTAATTAAATATGATGGTTATTTTGATTTATTATAGGGGTAAAATAGTAATCCAACTTCGCACTTTGAAGGTTTTCACTTTTAATAATATATGATGATATGATGTTTTATAATAACTAGTCTTGGACTAAATATATATATTCGTATTTTTTCTCCATTTGCGTCTTTTTTCATTAAATTCCACTCTTTATATGCGCTTCACGCTTAAAGCTCCAATGGACCTTAAAGTTTTCCTGTGCTTTTCGCTTTTGATAACATTGTGTCCTCCACACCTTCCTATCTAAGGTCATGTCCTCGTAAGCTGTCATTGTGTCATGTCCTATCTAATTACCTCTTCTAAATCCATTCATAGCCCCTCTGCATTGGAGAATCCGTGCATCTCCTCATCACATACTCGAGCCAATTCAACCTCGCTTCGCGCATCTTGTCTTTTACCAAAGTTACTTCCACCTTATCTCAAATATCCTCATTTTTAATCCTACCTCTCCTAGTAGACCCACACATCCATCAAAGTATCTTCATCTCCACCACTTCCGTTGTCGGATGTGAGAGTTTTTGAATGGCCAACACTCTACCCTCTACCCCATACACCATAATGGTTAACCACCACTTGTAGAGCTTGTCTTTAAGTTTTGGTGGCACCTTCTTATCACATAAGACTCCGGATGCAAGCCTCTAGTTCATCCACTTTGCACCAACATGGTGAGTGACATCCTCATCAATCTTTCATGATACTTGAGACTACCTCTCTTCTAGATGGCGTGTGTATCAAACCTCGCTTCCTCGTCAGCCTTGTGTGTCATATCACTCAGCCTCGTGCGTCATATCACTGAACATGCACTTCAAATACTTGTGTTTGTCTAGCTCAACTTGAACCCTTTATACTTTAAGGTTTGTCTTCAACCTCCAACTTAGTGTCAACTCTGTCACGAGTCTTGTCAATAAAAATTGCGTCATCTGCAAAATGCAAATAATATACACCATGGCACCTCACCTTGAATTTGTCGCGTCAATACATCCATGACCAAGGCAAAAAAAAAACTGCTTGATTGATGCTTTAGTTTCTAATTATTTGTTCTAATGTATATGGTTGGTCTTTGCTATTTCATTAGCAATTGTAACTCCACCAAAGGAATGATAATTTGAAGTTGATAGTCTGTCTAATCCTAGAGAGAAAATAGAGGTTGTGTTTGTTCTTGAAAATTGCTAAAAGATCCATCTCTTTTCCGGACTGGAGGTGCTTTTAACCTAAACTGCTTGACTAAAATAATACGGTTTGGGTCAAAATGGACAACCAACTGGTCATAACCACCGCCACCACCCTCCTCCCTGGCCTCGGCCAATTCAAAATTATTTCCTTGTTGTTCTTTTTGTAGTTCTTTAAACATCTAAATTCACCAAAAATCTTTTCTTTATAGAGAGTTTGTGTTTTAGTATCTCTTTCGATAAGTTAATTATATTTTTAGTTAAAAAGGTTCTTGTTCTTTATAGTGAAAACATAGGTGAACTTATTGAGAGGAAAATACATGACAACCCAATAAAAAGTTCTTTTCTACAAGTGAAAGGTTGAGAAAGAAAGATAAAAATAATAGCTTCCTTTCCATCCATAGATAGAAATGAGTGAACTTTCGTTTTTCTTATTAAATAAAAATAAATAAGGGAAGGTGAGTGAAATTTTATGTGCACCAAAAATAATTTTGCTTTTCTAAAAGAGGAAGCGTATGAAAGTATATTACATCCCACAACTAAACAAATCCAACTTATGTTTTCTTTAAATGAGAAAATCAGGTGAAATCTAGAGACAGATTTACCCATCAAACCAAACCAATGAATACATTTATTTTCCTTATAGAGAGAAAGGAAATGAAGTGTTGAGAGAGATGTATATCCACCAAAGTCAAGTTAAAAGCTCTAGGTGAAGTTATTGAGTGATAAATTTTACCCGCAAAACCAAAAGATAAAACCTTTTCATTTCTTTATAGAGAGAAAATTGGTGATCATGTTGAGAGAAATGCACCCCAAAATTAAAAATGGGGTTTTCCCTTTATGCATAGTGATGTGTTGAAATGTAAAAATGAGCAAGGCAATATTTTCTTTGATTTTTGACACAGCTTTCCGCAATAGAAAGTTACCCGTTTTTGTTAATTTGCAAGTTTGTTACGGGATGGGTGGATATGTTCATGCATTGTGGGGACATCGATTGTTTATGTGATGGATCTTTAATATGCTTGGACAATCCTCACTTCTTGAGCTAGTTTTGGGGTGGAGTTAGGCCCAAGTTTCATTTTCCTTATTGTTAAAATGGAAAAAAAAAAAGACTGAAGGTCTGGTTGATAATCCTCTCAATCACTTTTCATGAGTTTGTGCCTTAACTCATACTTAGAAGTCATGAATGTTGTGCTAAGATTTGGTTCCATTAGTCACTTTGTATGCTGCTACCTGTAGGATCTAGATCAAGAAGGTAGAGCCTGAGATGGTGATCTTCTCCAAGTATTTTTTTGCCACGTTCCTGATTTTGGGCGGTTCACGAAGCTGTTTTATTTGAACTAAGTTAAGGTGATTTTTTTGTATTTTTGAAGGGTTATAGCCCGATGTGCATATGCAGTGTTAAACGGTGTTTATAGTTGTTTTCAATTTTTGTATAGAAGTTTCAAGGATGTGACTCAGAGCTGGATTAGCTGCATTTTGGTTGTATATAATGATGTTTTGGTCCATAGGACTAATGCCAGAATACTTGGCCTTTTGTTTTATGGCCTGATGTTTGCATATTGAAGACTAGGCCTTTTCTGCAACTTTTTTTCCTCATGTCTTCTCTCATTAAGCTCTTTATCTGCCCATTTTGTTTCATTTGAAGTCGAAATGAAATTCACTATATTTTCTGGACAAGAACTCAAAATGTTTTCACTATATGTTCTATTGTTTACTGGTGAAGATAGATGCTGCTGACCTGCTCCTACCCAGGTATGAATCGTAAACGTAGCCTGTCTATAAATGTTTGTTACCTGAATAGGTCAAATATTATTCTTCGTTGTGTTTTTTGCTCAAAAATGTGCTCATCGTTGTGTTTTTGGCTAAAGAGAAAATGCTCAACTAGCAAAATAGCTCAAAAACAATCTGCTCCTACATAAGAAAAAATGGGTCAATTTTGTCTTTCAATTTTGTGTTTCCATTAATAACATATAAAGGTAGTAAAAACATTTTTCATTCATCAATTAAAAGTGATGACATGACTTTCTTTCTTTTGGTTCTTTTTTTATTTCTTAAAGTGATGATATATGTTTCTTACCTAACTATTTAAAATTTATTTTTCTACATTGATAATAATGAGTTTGTTTACTTACTCTAAGAATGCTATAAAAGAAATCAGGTTCAATTATACATTGGTATGTTATATTACTTACTGTAATTTTTAAGTAATCCCAAGTTTTAGTCAAGGGCTGCAAGTATAATGGTTTTGAAAGAAAACAACAAAAAAATGTTTAGTTGGAAAATTAAGTTAAGTATAAATTTTCATGTAAAATGTAAAATTGACATTATATTAAAAAATCATTTGAAATAGTCAAATCAATTTCATAATCTTTTAAGTTTTGATTTAAGTCTTACAAGTAAATATTTTTCTTGAACTTCAAATAGAGGGCAAAACAATCTTGTTTTCAATAGTTTAAAGGAAAAATTGAATCATTTTGTTTTATGTAATTGCCGGTATGAAGGTATATTTGAGCTATTTACTAATTGGATGACATATTTAAGCCAAAAACTCAACGATGAGTTTTTTTTTTATTTAAAAAACGTAACGATTGATAAAATTAACTTAAACTACACAAATTGGTCCCATTAGGCAAAGTATTTATCTAGGACCCACAACCCAAACTATTCACCTGATTGCCCCTTTTTCTATTCACTAAATTATTGTTGATGGTACCAAAATATTCTGGTAGTATCAAACAGTAATTGAATATTTTTCACTTAGACACTGTCTCTTCCTCCTTGATGCCATTGGACGAGTTCGGCACCATAACGGACACTTTTTGTACTCTAAACACCAAAATGGATTTTTCTCTAAAAACGCACTAAAAAGGATAGTTTGCTCATAAGGGTGAACTATAACTAACATCCTTCAACTCTGTAGTCCACGTTAACTCGCATTTCATCCAAAATAATATTACACCAACTTTAAAGGTAGTTCGTTCACAAATGGGCGAACTACAATTTCTTTTATTTCTTTCTTTATATATCTTTCTTTTTCATGTGACATATTTTTTTCTTTCTCACGTGAACTATCTTTTTCTTTCTCACGTGAACTATATCTCTTCCACTCCACAATCTTTCATTAGTCTTCTACTTTTTTATACTTTATATTTTGATTTTTTAAAATTTGATTGTGATGTCTCAACTATTCTGAAAGTTAGTATATTCAATTGTACACCTTTGAGCTAGCTCTTATTCTTGGAATAACATAACAAGAAAATTGCTCTATTGTCTTTGTGTTTTACGAAAAATAATAATAATAATAATATAGTGAAATATCAATGGTTTAGTGTTGCCTAAAAAGACTTACTCGTAAGGAAAATATGACTTACATCATTGATGAGCACATTAAGTGTGGCAAAGCGCTCAACGCGCTTTGAGCGTCACTTCAAGGCTTCAGCGTGCCTCAGACAACACTAGGAGGATACAAATTAGGGTAGAAGATTGGTCGATAAAATTTCATCCATACTATTCTACTACTATATGTTGTTTTTGTTATTATTTGTTGTCCCTTGTACTTCCATTACGGCTTTTTCTAGACTATTTTTGTCTAGAGCCAAGGGTCTATAGGAAACAGCCTTTCTACCTCTAAAGTAGAGGTAAGGTGTGTGCACTCTACCCTAAACTGACTCCACCTTACGTGATTACTCTAGGTATATTGTTGTTGTTGACTGGTAAACATTAATGAAATAACTGATTCTGCAATTCCTTCTAGGAATCTACTGAAACTTAACGAACAAACAAAGTTACTGACCCTGCATTTTCCTTCTAGGAATATGTTAGAAACTTAATGAACCAACAAAGTTATTGATCCTGCATTTTCTTTCAGGAATCCAGTGACAAGCCATAACACCAATTCCATTGGTAATATCTGTTCGGATGGCAGAATTACCATCTTACATTAAGAAACTGTAAACACACTAAAAAAGAATTTTCTTCTTTGGATCCAATAGTTGCAGATTGACACAATTTATGTTTTCTTTTTGAGAATTTGGGCAAGTTTACAACTTATTACGACAATTTTCAAAAAGTCCAACCATAAAAACTAGGAGATCATTCCCAACATTACTTACGGCTTGGACGTTTCATATTTCGGCAGAACTTGCTACTGCAATGGCAGCTAAATGCTTCTACTGGATGTTCAAGATCATCAAAATCAATACCATAATCCCGCAAGAGCCAAATGTAAAGTTCATCAAGCAGATAATAAACAAATAGCAAAGCATATATTCTGAAAGATATGGAGGCACCTTTTTGTATCTACCAGGCAAACACTCACAGCACAAAAAGATGAGGAGAATTTCATTGTGCTTAACTCTTTATGATTAGAGCAACCTAAAACACAAACTTCATTTTCATATCATTACAAGCTCTAATGTATTAAGAGAGAAAGAAATTAACCAAAATTGAGAAGCATCTATCTATCCTTTCTTTGAAAAGCAAATAAAGACGTGACTTGATAAAAGAAAATAAATGCATTATACACAACATATATAGATGGCAAAGTATTTATCTAAATTGAATTAACAACCCAAACTATTCACCTTATTGCCCTTTGTTCTATTTACTCAACCATTATTGATGGTATCAATATGCTCTGGTAGTATCAAACAGTAATTGAACACCCAAACTATTCACCTTATTGCCCCTTGATCTATTCACTCAACCATTATTGATGGTATCAGTATACTCTGGTAATATCAAATTGTAATTGAACAATCTTTCACTGAGACACTGTCTCTTCCTCCTTGATGTCATCAAAACAAACACTTTTTGAACCCAGACACCAAAAATGACCCTCGGTAAAAACATACTAAAACAGATTAGTTTGCTCATATGGGTGAACTATAACTAACATCCCTTAACCCCATCATCCCCGTTAAACTCCCATTTCATCTAAAATAATATCACACCAACTTTAAAGGTGGGCGAACTACAGTTCCTTTTATTTCTTCCTTTATATATCTTTCATTATCATGTGACCTATATTTCTTTCTTCCTCACGTGAACTATATCTCTTTCTTTCTCATATGAATTTATATCTCTTTCTTTCTCACGTGAACTATATCTCTTTCACTCGACAATCTTTCATTAATGTTCTACTTTTTTATACTTTATATTTTGATTTTAAAATTTGATAGTTATGTCTCAAACCATTCTGAAAGTTTGTATATTCAATTGAATCAGATGTTTGTAAATGGAAAGAGTATTGTAAAATGAGAACATCGAGAACTCCAAGAAATCCTGCTCGTAAGTTTGGGAATTGTGTGTTTAAGGGTGAGATTATATCTAAGTATCTCGGTTGTAATATATTTTTTTTATATAGAGGACCATAAGCCCCCCAACCTATAGCTGGATTCTCAACTACATGCTCATACTTTACGAGGATCCTATTCCCCTCCCCTCCCCCCCCCCTCCCGAACATTTTTGTATATATTATCTCGCCCTTATATTTGACATGCCCACATAAACCAAATATAAAAAAATGTTTGTTTACACGCGCTGCCATGTATTAGCAGGACCACAAAGCTCTAATTTTCCTGTAATCTTTTCATTTTCCTCTTTCTTTCTCTAAACCCTAACCTTTTTTTTATCAGACCAAATTCACCCTACTCTCTTCATGATCTGAGGTTTCGTTCCAATCGAAGTTTGTTGGGAGGGTTGTGGAAGGTTTGTTTACTAGTTATTCACCTATTTATGTGAGTAAAGGTTAGTTTTTTTAAGTTCTTTACTAGCGATTTTGAACGATAATGATGATTGTGTTTGATTAGGATTATGAAATTGACCCAAAAAAAAATGAAGAGCAATAATTGGGTTTTAGTATTATTGCATTCCATTGTTCAATTTATACCATATTATCTTCATATTGTTAACCATATGGTGTTTTTTTTCTTGTTTAATGTTATATATGTTCGTAATGATACTATTTATACCATATTATCTTCATATTGTTAGCCATGTGGTGTTTTCTTTCTCGTTTAATGTTATATATGTTCGTAATGATACTATGGTGTAGTAAGTTTACAATTTTCGTGATCATTTCGTTATAACGATAATATTTTCATATTTACCTAGTGTGTGCGTGTTTAATGTACAATGTGTAGTTTAATTGTTCTCTGTTCTTTCATTCCATTCAAGTAGGAGATGAGTGGGTTTACTTTGGTTACCTTAAGATGGTATCGTGTGGGGCTTTTAGATTTAACTAGTGCCCACCCTTATATATTGATTGTCCACTTGTTAAATCTAACACCCCACCATGATACAATCATAAGGTAACCAAAGTAAACCCACTCATCTCCTACCTGAATGGAATGAAATTTCATATCATGAAGAGAATGGGTGAATTTAGTCCGATAGAAAAATGGATAAAGTTTAGAGAAAGAAAGAGGAAAATGAAAAGATTAAGGGAAATTTTAGAGTTTTAGGGTCCAATCAATACGTGAAAGCGCGTGTAAACAAACATTTTATTATATCCGATTTATGTGGATGTGTCAACAAATAAGGGTGGGATAATATCTGAGTAGTGTTTTTACTGAAGGACTGATTCCTCCTCTTTGGTACCATTAGATTATATATATACTTTGCTGGTATTAAGTAGTAAATTCGAATTAATAGTTAAAAATAGGAATTGAAAGTAAGGAATAGCCGATTGTAAACAGTTTCCGTTTTTGGACTACAAATGTTCTTTTTCCTATTATAAAAGCTTAAGATTTTGCCCTTTATTAAAGTGGGCTCCACATTTTTCTATTTTCGAGATAACTATCGATTTATTTTATATTTAATTTAGAGGTGCGGAGATTGAGAACTAGGGTAAAGGATAGATAGTCTGTCCAAATATTTCCTTACTTCTTTAGGAGTATTATTCAATATTGACATATATCTTATTCTTCAATTTTTATTACTATCCATTGTTCCATTTGTGTTGTCTATCTTTCTATTTTTCGTTGTCCTTATTTTTCTTCCAATTTTGTTTTGGTTGCACTTCTTTTGAGCCAAGAATCTATTATTGACAACCTCTTTCCCCACAAAAATAGCAATAAGATTAACGAATATCGTACTTCTCAAGTGTCACCTACATATATTATACCTCCTCAAATCTCAGTTGTAAAATTACCTTGTTCTTCTAGGTTTCTAAACATTAACATAAATTTTTGTTTAAATGTGGTTACATAACATTGTTTTGCAAACTTAGCCAAGTTAGTGTGAATTTAATTGATTGCTCTTAAGCATTAATTATTGTTTAGCTGGTTAGCCAAGTTAAGTCATCATGAGACATGTTAATGGGATGGACTGTTACTGAACAATCTCTATGCATTGTCCATTCCATAGTCAAAAGTGCTGCTAAATATTCACTTTCTAAACATCATTTGTTTCCCCAAATCCAACTTTCACATGTAAATTAAGCTGACAATTCTGAATACCAGCTATCGGTGATGAGTTCACCCTCGAGACGCCAAAAATGTAACAGACAAAGCTAAAAACAGAAGAAACCAGTGAATGATATATGCAAGAGAGAAATACACCAAGAGAAAGGACCTAACTTCTAAACATTTTACTTGAAATGCATGAACATGAAGAAATTTCCGCAACAGAAAGATATGCATGAGTCTTTCTGTAGATGGCTTAGTCACTCTGTAGCCTTGCAATGTATTTGTCATAGTATTTTGCAGCTCGTTCTATGTCTCCAAGCTCGGTATAGCAATCAGCTATTGCTCCATAAGCTTCTGTGCTGCCAGACTCCTCCCCATTTCTTCCCGAGATATCAAGAACCATAGAGTGGTATTCAATCGCTTCCTTGTACTTGCCCTGCCTTTGTAACGATGCCCCTGAGAAAGAGGTGAACCTTTGAGGGTCATTACGTCGTGACACAAACATATACTAGAAAGAGAAACAACAGTAGGTTGAAGCAAAGTCTCTTTTAATAAGTAAATTTAACAAAATCTCTACATCCAACTTCTGGCGGGATTTGGCACTTTCTTCCATAGATTAAAAAGAAAATGAGCCAAGAAAAAAGAAGCAACATGACTCTGTGACACCAAGAAATTAGGAATAAATGACAACAAGAAATATGGTTAAGACAGGATCTCATTCCCAGGGAACATACTCGTTACATTATTTATACATAGACAAGCAACCACAAAAATCATCTCCAGAAAATTCTTGCTAGATCAAAGAAGACAAAAGATGCATGCATGTGTAATTCCAGTCAATGCAGGGTCACATGCAGAGGAGATTTCTATTCGACTAACTTCACAAGTCCTTTACTGTCTAACCAAGTTCAACCAAGATAATATTAGGCTAAACTAAACAAGGAGATCTGACATACCTAAGCCCCTCGCTGCCTTCTTTTCCTCTATAGGGTCTTTTAGGTCCTGTGCAAGCTTAAGAGCTGTTTTAAACTCCAAAAAAGCCTTTTCTAGAGCTTGATTTCTCAGAAAATTCTTCCCACTTTTCAAGTGAGAAATTAATTCCTCCTTTTTTGGATCAATAATCACTTCACTTACTGAAATCTTACCACCAACAGGAGCATAACTTAAGGTAGGTGCATAGGACTCTATATTGGCTTGCCTTCTAAGCGCTGTATTAATCTGGCGGAGCTGCTCATTTAACCGCTGCAGTTCCGCTTTTCTCTGACGTGCAAGTAGTCCTGAAGTACAATCAAATGAACGCACACACATACTTGTGTCAAAAGGTGGAGCAAAAAAAAGAGTAAAACCAAGGAAAACTATGAGAAATAACACGGGGAAAATATAATTAAGATGTGTATAAACATTATTGCACCGAGCCCCTATTTGTAGTCATATTCTAGAAAATACATGCTAAATTTTTTTTCATGTGGGACACTATATACATTTATGAATTACCCCCCCCCCCCCAAAAAAAAAAACCTCAAGCTAGTGAGGGACTTGTCAATTGTAGTGAAGACATTTTTAAAACGAGATCTCATTCACTCCTACACATATTCACCCATTTTAGCACAAACACTTCATTCCGTTGTACTCAGAGTTGACTCAAACTTGAAATGTTTTATTTACAAACAAACATTTCAAATTCCCATCTTTTTTGCCAATCCAAAAATATAAGAAAAAAGGAAGAAGAGAGGAAATCTTTAGACAATAAGGATCTTTTCTGAACAGTTTTTGAATTGTCCCAAAAGACAACATATTAAATGTAGAGTGAAATGAGCACAGACGGATCAGATTAGATATTGAGGATCCATATGTCAACATTAACAGGTTTGGGATTTACACAGTTCTTGTTGACAAGTTCTTTAATTGGCTTATTTTTATAGCTAATGGCATCTTTAATGGTCATTTCCACAAACATACATAGGCTCATTTGTAAACCTCATGGATAACTAAGATTTTTATCTAGTGTTCTGGCAGATGAACTGCCAAATGAAATGGCCATATTAACTCCGGGAATCTATACTGCAATGTACTTTAATGCATCAAAAATACTTGAACTTCTTTTCATTTAATCCAAATTCTGTCTCATATCTGCATGTACTATTTTTGACTTAGCTTTGTGAAGAAGTATGGCAATGCAAGTCAAACGTAACTTGTCTTATGATCATCCAAGTTACTTGCTTATGTAATCTTTTAAATGCCTCAACAGAAAAAGTGTAGTTTCTGCATCATATGAGATGCAATTTTGATGTGAAGTTTATGTCCATGCTCTATACTTAACTTGGGGTCTATGATCTAGAGTTCCATCCAGCCACAATGACTTTCTGTCATTTCAAAGTTGAATACTCCGAACTATGCAATAAAGCAATGGCAGTGCTAAACTTAAAAGTACCTTACCTCCCACGGTGGCCCCAACAAGGGCAACAAGAAGTAATAATGGCATATTGGAAACAGAAGTATCGGCTTCACATGTTTGAGCCAAGGCGTCTAAAGGTGTGGTCATCATCAATGCATTAGTCACGATTAATGCTGCTGCAGGGTGTCTGAACTGCAAAATATCCTGCCATGTGTATAACAATTGAAATTGAACAAGAAAAGGAAGCCAAGAAATTAATTCAGCTAGTGCCTTTTTGCTAATTACTGATTGAATACGTTGCATTTTCCACTAGAATAACATGAATTTATCTACTGTAACATGTAGTAAGAACAGAACAGAGCCAGCAAACAAGTGTGTACACAGATAATGAATGGTTTAGAGCAAGAGAAATGGTAGTGAAATGACATCACTTTCAGTCTATAACATGTCTTCCCCAGGTATTACGTAGTGACGAGCAATTTAGACATGGCTTTAGTAGAGAGTATCTTACAAAAGTCTTTTTGACAGTTTAGCTTGATGGCCAGTGAGGCCAATACTGCAATTATATGCATATTCACCAGCTAAATTTAAAATCATTGCATACATCTATCACCTAGTAGTTGTGATATTTCTTGGGAAATTAATCTATGTGACAACAACTACAATCAATCTGTTGTTAATTCCCTCAGTGATATTGAAGCTCTTTCGTATCGTTGATTAGCATTATTGAACTTTTAAATATGCTTCAAACACAATGAAAACCTCTCATCTTTTTTTCAATAACAACAGACAGATTAAGGCCTTTCTTCTTCTTTTTACAGTTCATATACGGATTAGCTCAGAAAAATTGAGTAGCCTCTCTAAAATACTTTAAAATGAAACTTATTCTTCACTTTTCTAATAAGATTCAACAACAACAGCTACTATATACCCACTGAAATCCCTCAAAGTGGTGTCTAGAGACCTTACTCCTACTTCAGTGTAGAGATGTTGTTTCGATGAACTGTCAGTTCAAGATAAAACAGCGCAGAGCAACAAAAAAACAGAACAAAACTAATATGATATTCGAGGTACAAGTAATCAACAAGTAGTAACAAAAATCCAACTACATGAGCAATACTACGGTTACTAATATGCACAGACAGCAAACAACAGACACACTGTTAGCTAGCTAGTTAACCTTCTACCCTAATCACTATCCTCCACACTCTCCTAAAACTCCACCAAATTTCCCCAAAAGGTTCAAAACCTTCACATTACTCGCCAATCGAAAAACCAAAACAAAAAGAACCAATTTTGCAACAGACCCATCAACCAAAACCTTGATATAAACAACCCCAAAATCCTAAAAAGCAAAATTCAGTCACCTCGAAATCAATATGGATGCATCTTGCACCTTTCTTGGTATGTCTGTAGAAAAGCTTCTGCGGTAGAGCTTTTCCCCATTTACTACTGAACTGCCCAGACTCCAAGAAAATACATTTGACATGACCAGATTTGAAAGGATCATATAGAAATTGACTCTGTGAAAGAAGCCATTGTTGTTTCATCATCATCTTCTTGAAAATTGCTTTAGCTTTGATGATTTTTCTATGTGGTCTGAGGATAAGATTTTGCGTTTTCCCTTTTGCTTTTGCCGATTGCATAATTGTAATTATTGGAGTATTAGTAACAAACTTCAACTTATAATTAACACTAATTCAAACTTTGAGTACGTAATTATCCACAGTATCTTAAAACCACGGCTATGAAATATATTTTAGCTCAACATTCTTCAATGTTATTGTTTATTGCTTATTACTCTTTCTATTTCCATTTTTATTTGTCGTGTTAAGCTTTTTGAAAGTTAATTTAATTTATTTTTGAAGTTAAATTAAATTATATTATTTTTTAAATAAAAAATTAAATATTTAAAAATTATATGAAAAATTATACATTGTAATTTTTACATATTAATATGTTAAAAAATATATCTTAAAATGTTAGTTAAAATTTTTGAAGTTTAACTCTAAAAATGAAAAATAAGACAATTTATAGTAGATGGAGTATTGGATAAAGCTATTGAAAAAGTTTCAATTATCTTTAGAAGTCCAATAGATTGACTTAAAAAGTGGATTTTAAATTAAAAATAAAAATAAAAAGTATAACTTAAATAACTTTTTAGTAAAAGAAAAATAAAAGGATGAGAGATTACTTTTAATTTTTAACTTTTTAAAAAGTTATTTTTAATTTATTTTTGACTTTGTCAATCACTTTCAAAAACTAAAAACTGAGTTCAATCAATTTAAGTCAATCCAAACATGCTTTAACTATTAACTTAGGGGGTTAAAGTAGGGAGGAATTCTAAAAAATATCCCAACATAAAATATTACATCACGTAGTTATATCTTCGATTTATACAATATCTTACGCCATTAAATTCGGAGAAAATATTGTACATAATGTGTTTAACCCTTATGGAAATATATATAAAAATGTTTATATGTAAATATGAGTTAAATCGGATAACATATACATATTTTCCTCGGTGGACATAGAGTGCAGGTTTCTCTTAAAACAATTCATCATTCTATACTATTAAACTAATGAATAACTTTCACAAATAGTAAACGTAAAAATATATTTGTATGTTATATCTATAGTTTGCATAATTGCGCTTCATACCAAACATAAATATGTATATTTCGCTATACATATATAAAAGAAAGCAGTTGAATAATATGTTTCTGTTTCAGTATACATATACAAAAGAAGCGAGAAAGAGAGAAAGACAAAAGAAAACTGGGCAGGGGAATATCGTATTTGTATAATCATAAGTGTATGAGACGAAATATATGCATTTGTATTTGTATATACAATTTTTAGTCGCTTTATACAAACACAAACGTAATGTATACATTTGTATTTGTATAAAGTGAGAGAGACGAGTAAGAGTGGCAAACGAGATCTGGGAGAGGAGAGAGGGGAACAAAAATATATGTATATATACATTTTTCTTTCGCTTTATACAAATACAAACATACTTTTATTACATTTGTATTTGTATAAAAGTGAGAGAGGCGAACGTGATTCATCAGGAGAGAGGTGAAATAGTAACAGTTTGGTATGAGGTATAATTAAATCAAACTATATTTATAGCATTTAATGTGAACTAATAATTTGTTATTATATACAATTTTTCCTAAATAATCAAGGACGTCGTTTGATACAAGAAATATGAGATAATTATTTTAAGATAAAATGCAAGATTGATTTATCTTGTATTTAATCAGGAGTATTAATTAGTTTTAAAATCACTTATCCCACTACTTATAATATACGAGTCTTAAACCATGAAATAACCTTATCTATCTCTTTAAGCTTCGTTTACTATTAAAAATATCTTTTTATTATCAGAATTATTATGTGATACTCCTATATGTGAAACTTAAATAAAATAGGTAATGCTGAATTTATTGGTCCAATTAAATATCAGGTTCAACCTTTAAATGATTTGACTCTTATGAATCTATTCGTTTAAAATTGTTGGGGCTGAATTTTACGAGTGCATTATCTTATTTTACTCCTATATTAGAAAAGGCATAATCAACATGCTTGCTTCAACGGCTATTTTGGTCTTTACAAGGCATAATCAACATGCTTGCTTCAAGGGTTATTTTGGTCTTTACAATGCTTGATTCAAGGGTTATTTTGGTTTTTACAAGTATATGGTTAGCTGTCTTTTCTTTGTTAATCTATTTTGCCTTTTCATTTTCTTAGCTAACGTGTCTTCTTCTTACCTTTTCATTTTCTCAGCTAACGTGTCTTCTTCTGATAAAATGAATATGCATGTCTTCCTCCTCCTATGTCTTTTATTTGCACACGGAAATTCACTCTCTTCAGCCTTCTCCAGGTAATGTTTTACATGTCTCAATTAAGCTTTCTTTTTCCTTCATCTTCGTTTCAATCAATGTTCAAGTTTTAAATTTGATCTGGGTGTGTAAAATTTTCACTTAATTTTTCGTTTGAAATTGTTATTGATGTTGAATTATCCTTTTGGTTGGCTCATTCAGATTGATTTAGGTGGGTGAATATACCCAAATTTGATTTGGGTATGTGATTCTTGTTCCATGTTACAAAAATCACAATAATGTTAATCCATTTGGGCGTTTTTTGAATTCGTCTTTCAAATTTCTGGTTGTCTTCTTTTCTTTATGTATGAAAAACCTATATATTTTCACATGCAGTAACTTTTGATTTTCTTTTGTCAGATGTAGTGTTAGTTTGGTCTTCCACTCTGTTCATGTATGAAAAACCCATATATTTTCACATGCAGTAAATTTTGGTTGTATTTTAATCAGGATGTGTATTTTAATCAGGATGTGTTTGGGCTACAAAACTTTTCCTGATTATCTCCATTTTGGGTATAGAATTGGTAAATTTTACCAACCAAGGTGTACTTGCATCTACTGGCCATTTTGACTTTGAAATCTTCTTCCCGAAAGGTTATGGAAGGGTATCCTTGCCGAGTGTTAATAATAGGAGGGGTTATCTCTATGGGTGGGACATATTGATTCATCCTGATTCTTAGGACCCTTTTTTTGTTCTTTTTCCAAAATCTTTGTGCTGCAATTAATTTTTACTTTTAATTTATCCAAATCTACACTGTGTAAAACGTGTTCTTGTTCTTGAATTCATTGTTGCAGAGACCCTTTTAAGCCCAAAGGTCTTTCCTGATTTTTCGATAAAGGTATGAGCTCTTTCTTATTATGGTTTGAGTTCTTCATTTGACTTGATGTGGGGTTTAATTTCATACTGTTTTGTTCTGTGTAGTTGGTGAGTTGGTAATTTGTTTTGTTGGTTTAATATTGGGGTTACTTTGTTGATTATGGGTTTAAAGATTCAAACTTTGTGCTTTTTTGTTCTGTTTTAGGCTATTTTCATGTATTGTTTCTGCTTAGTTGAGCTGCTGTATGATTTTTTTTTTCGATCAATATTTTGCATTAATAGTAGTTTAAAAATTATACACTCATACTACCAAAACAATTGAACCGTTGAATCCAAAACAAATAATAATTGAGAAGTCAATACAGGAACAAAATACGCAGCAGAAGAGCTAGCTCAAAGAAAATAATTCAGCACCATAAACTAAAAAAAGATGATAAAAGCAGAACTATATTGACAGATTATGCTATGCACGAGTCCTTTATGAGGTAGTTTAGACGGTCTACTACATTCGAGTATTTTTCTGTTTATAGGAAGCGATTTGAAAGAGTTTGTACAGAGTGGTTGATAAACTTAGAAGTTACTGACATATGTCAATTACAAAAATCGACAAATGAGCCTTGTCTAAAGCTGCAACATTTGGCTATTGCGAAATGCAATGAATAATCTCACAGTTTCAACATCCCCAGTTATTCTTCAGGCTTGCTCTTTGATCTTTACTTGTAAGTCCTACAGGAGTAAATCCAGAAGTTATACACATTATCTTTTTCGAACCTCACCTGGTGGGATTACACGGGGTATGTTGTCGTTGTTGTCCTAATGACGTTGGCACCGAGACCTTGGAGTTTCATTTCCAAATTTTCATAACCCCTATCAGCATGGGAGGTTCCACTGATTTCAGTAATTCCTTTTGGAGTTTCATTTCCAAATTTTCATAACCCCTATCAGCATGAGAGGTTCCACTGATTTCAGTAATTCCTTCAGCAGACAGACTAGCCAAAACTAATGATATTTCCCCCTGCAAATCAGTTGCATTGGCCTGTGAACTGCGGAATGGACTAGTAGAAAATCCATAACAACATCAATACGCGATATAGTTTGTATAGAACATTAGGAAATCAAGCAAGAACTATAAACTTACCTTGCCTTTCCCTTCCCATAAACAGTTGCTCTGCTTCCAGAGACCTGAATATTAGCTTCAAATTTATGCAGCTCAGTTACTGCACAAAAGAAGATAATGAAACCTTTAAAAAAAACATCGAATACAATTATCTGTCGAAAAAATAGCAAACTGTTATGTAGGCATTCTGACCTGATATTCTTTAGCAATTATGTGAGACTTAGGATCCCTTAGTTTTGTTTGGGTGGTCCAAATTCTACTAAAAGAATTACCAATTTTTTGATTCTTTAGTGTGTAAAATGCCTACTGTTGCAGTATGCTTAAGTCTTTTTTGGCTTTTGAAGAATATGATACAGGGGTGACTATAATTGTAGATAGTATTCAATTTTGTTGCATGTTGCTAATATTTTTCTATAGTTATGTCAATAAGACTAAAGGACTTGTCCACTTCAATATAAATAATTCGCTTCCACAAATTATGTATGATATTTACTCTGTAATTTGTACACAAGGATAAAGGATAAGAAAAAAATTCTTTGAGCTACCTAGTATTAAACATAAACAAGTTGAGCCAAATATAGATCTTAAAATTAATTTAAGATTGTTTGTATCCATTTTGAATAAAAATAACAAGTTCAAGCAAATAAGACATTGTTGTCTTTTGGATCAACTTAGTGACAAAATGTGAAGCATCATAATTACTGGTACGAATAAATAATTATGAATTGTTCGAGTTAGCTGTGACAAATAATTAATGTTTAAGGACAATATAGATTGATAAATTAGCATAATCTATTTAATTAATCAAATAAAAAGGGAAATTTTTAAAGTGACTAGTTTAGACTTATTAGAAATTCATAGCAGATATAGTTTGTTAATAACAATTCATAGCTACATTTAAAAGGGAAGAAAAAAAGCAAGCAAGATTTGGAAGAGATAGGAGAGAGGTTGTATCAATATATACAATTGTTTTTGTATCAACAAATACAATTATATTAAATGAATACAATTGTATCAACGAATACAATTATATCAAGTTCTATCAACGAACATAACAACGACTTTCCTTGTGCATTCACTTTGTATCAATTATATTAAATTGTATACATTTGTATCGTACATTGTATACTCTTTCATGACACGATTGCTATAATAATGTACTTCTTCCTCGTTCAGCCATATTGAGAGTTTGAGTAAGAAATCGAAGATAAGAAATAAGAAAAAAAAAGGTCCCCACCATATCTCTCTTGTTTTGTATCAATTTTATCTCTAAAGATAAAACAAAAAGTGATATGAGATCAAAGGGGAGGAATGAAGTCGAGAAGCAAGCGAAAGAGGAGAGACATTAGAAAAGGAGAGGGCATAGAAGAGTGTCGAAGCAAGAGTTTAAGAGAGAGGAGATATTTTCTACAAAAACATAGTTGTTAGTTATGTAATATATAAAATACATAACACATATTTATCTTACGTATGTAATTTTTTCGAAAAAAAACTCGAAGCTCAGAACCAGATAGCAGGCCTAATGAATTGGGCCACATGACAGGCCCAGTGGGCCAAACGAGCATCAGTGTACTGGACTGGCTGCCATGGTTATCGAAGTAAAAAAACCCTAGTCAATTTTACAGATTTAGCTGTATATAAAACCCTAACGCCTCCGTAGCTTTAATTTTTCTCTTCAGATTTTTGGGATCGTGAAGAACAACACCGTCCGGGATGTCGAAACGAGGTATTACTTGATCTTATTCCACTTCTTTATCCGATTACATGTAATTATTTATTTGGATTTGATGTGTGAAACTTTTCAGGACGAGGAGGTTCCGCCGGGAACAAGTTCAGAATGTCACTGGGTCTGCCGGTGGCGGCGACGGTGAACTGCGCCGATAACACTGGTGCTAAGAACCTGTACATCATTTCCGTGAAAGGGATCAAGGGAAGGCTTAACAGGTTGCCTTCAGCTTGTGTTGGAGATATGGTGATGGCTACTGTGAAGAAGGGTAAGCCAGATCTCAGGAAGAAGGTTATGCCTGCTGTCATTGTTCGTCAACGCAAGCCATGGCGCCGAAAGGACGGTGTTTTCATGTACTTTGAAGGTATGTTTTAGAGTATCATTCTTCTTATTTTCTCTTGTGAAAAAATAGGCTGGAATATACTGGATAATATAGTATATACTAACTTAGTTTGGAATTGGTGTGGTAGATATCAAAATGCGGATTTGTAATGCTTTTTCTAGTTGTATTTAGCTGAATTTTGCTGTATCATATGCTGGTTTTGTTTGTTGTTATAGCTAATGAGGAATTCGAAGGGAGATTTTTATGTGTTACTGTTGAAGTTGCTAGTACAACAACATACCAATTTGAAATCCCGCAAGTGAGGGCTCCGAGTGAGTTGTGAGGAGGGTAGAATGTACGTAGATCCTGTTGCTCAAGTGCAACAAGACAATGGAGAGAATATAGCGAATAGCATGGAATATTACAGAAGTAGCCAAAACAACTATTAAATCATGTGATGATTGAAGCTAGAAGTCACTAGTATTATATACAAATAAGTAGCTATACCATGATGGATATGTAGACCTTGTTTTATTTCTCTTTATAATCAATTATTGCATTTTAATATTTGCTGTTTGCGTTGCTACATTGGACATTAGTTGCTAGTACCGTTTGATCCATCTTGAATCAGATCATTTAGTTGAATGGATATATAGAGGTCCGCGAGGTACTAATTGAATTAGTATTTAGGGATCTTTTCATGGGTCTGCTGTCATAGTTCCTTCTGTGTTGATATTGCTACTGCTGCTGCCCATTGTTGTGTTTGATAAATAGCTTATGGACTAATCTTATCATTTTATGCAGTCGCAGTTCTATCTCTTGTTTGTGAGATATGTTGTGTTTACATCATTATAACTGAATAGCCTACACGAAGTCAGTTTCTTCTGTGGCATTAGTCCTTATTCATATGTATTTTCGTTCTGCAGATAATGCTGGTGTGATTGTGAACCCCAAGGGAGAAATGAAAGGTAATTCAATCTACTTTTTGCTATTCTATTTGAAGTCACTATCCCCTTGACAAGATACAAATATATGAACCTGTATTACATTTTTCCTTAACCGTAGTCTTTTGATGTTATGCTTTGTAGGGTCTGCCATCACTGGCCCAATTGGTAAAGAATGTGCTGATCTATGGCCTAGGATTGCATCTGCTGCCAATGCTATTGTGTAGAAGAAGTAGGAGCTCCCCTAAGTAGTTTATGATTCTTGTTTTTTTTGGGTTGTCATTAAGTTTTCGGATATCTGAGGAACGGTTTTGTCTTGGTAAGAATTATTTGTTCAAAATTTTGGGATGATCATCAAATGATTGTTCGCATTTCCATGGTTTTGAATATGCTTTTATCCAAGTGTATGCAAAAGTTTTGATAATAATCGACAAACTTAAAATATTCTAAAATCATATACAAATTTGATTCACCCTAGTTTCACTTGTACGGCAAATTTGAGACACATGACGTACACTAAGAAACTAACAATCTTGCTATAATGTCTTCACAAATATAGTAAGTATTTCTTTTTTAAAAAAGACATTCCTATAAAAGAAAAATTAATTTATATATAGAATTATAGAAATATCAATTGATATTACTTTCCCTTTTTTTGGATGGTTGTTGTGTGTTTGTTTCAAAATTATTGTATCGTATTGATTTAAATGAATATAATGTCATAATAAGAGTAATAAAATGAGAAGAAAATATTAACATAAAGATGTAATCATGCCAAATCAATCATGATCCTTTTCGTTGTTATCTAACGATGAATTTAAGCGATATGATATAATAAAATTTAAATAATAATTAAAACAAAACATTATATTTAAACTAATAATACATTACAATTCCACACAATACTCCCACCATTTCATATTGATTGAATTTTGAGATATTTTTCTTTTTTAAATTAACTTAATTGTTCAGTTTTCAAGATTACTTTTAGAGTATTCTTTCAATTTTTACCCTTCATTTAGATTTTTATATGTGATGACTTTAATAAATTTTACAAGAATTAATAAGGGGTAAAACTTTTAAACTGTGTTCATTTTATATCTTAATCTATTTTTTTTTTATTTATTTAAAGGAACTAATATTAGATTTTATTTTAGACAAAAGAAAAAATAATTTCCTCAAGGCGGGAAAATCATAGTGTGGTGGAAGATGGCGGGTTGGTCATACCCAGATGCTTCTCTGGAAGATTTGGTGAAAATGGTGAAAGGGTTCATAGATATGGCCATTCTCTCTTCTGGCTATCAATCATCTGGTCGTCTTGCTCACTGGGATTCACATAACATCAAAAATGCGCTTCAATGGGCTCTCTTTCTCCAGAATGTCAGTAACTCTTCCCTGTTTTGTTCTTTTCTAATATAACTGTTCAATTGAAGTTAGGGTTTGGGAAAGAACTGGGAGACAGTTCGTCACTTGCAGTTTTTTTTACATGAAAATTATAAATGTGTTTTTTGATACTAAACGATTACTTAATTTTGCTTCTTTACTTGCTGATTTTGCCTTTGTGTACAGGTGATGAGGGACTTAAGTAGCTCAGATGACTATAAAAACTCTTTGGAGGAGCTTGATGCAGCTTTATGTGAAATAAACTCTAATCCATATCTCCCTCAGGTAGTGGATTTGTTGTTACATGCCCTGATATATTATATATTAGCTTGTTTTTTTATGCTTTCTGTATTTCTATCTTGTACCTGTTTCTATTGTTTCCTATTGCAATTTGAATAATTCTGAAAAGAAGGATGGCTGCCTTCTGTTAATATTTTAAACAGGGTCTAGCCCATATTTCTTCCAAGGAACTTAGCAAAGCGAGTGAATTTATGCTAGAACATCTCATCAGTGTCTTTCCACTGAGAGATGAACACTTGAAAGCTTTACTTAATGCAAGTGTTGAGATGGATTATCACATGCACCAGAAGGCAGATAGTAGATCTATCAATGACATTTTCGAAAACTTGATGTGTAGTACATCTAAAAACGCTATTCCTAATGAGAAAAAGTTTCCAAGGGAGGAATCTCTAAACTCATTGCCAAATTCTTCTCCAAGTGAACAAGCTGATGATTCAATCAGATGTGAGTTTTCTCTCTTCACTGCACAAGCGCTTGAAACGAGGCAACTATCTGTTTCATTGATATCTGCTGCAGAGACAGGGTTGAACATTTTGTCTAGTGGCTTAAGAGATCTGTATGTGAGGGAGGATGGCAATGCTTTAGATGTAAAAATGATGCAGACAACAAATTTCATGTAAGTGATGTAGACACTCTGTCAATTTAACAAACACGAAGGCCATTTTCTGCATGTAGTGTATCAGCTTTATGAACTCACTTATATGAAAAGAAAAAAGTTTAGCAGCTTTATGAATTACATTAGCATATGCGTCTTCCAAAATAACTTAATCGCCAAACATTGTAGCTTCTTCTTCATCATGACATGCACTGGAGTAGTTTCTAATTTTGTTGAGCATGTGTTATTTGGAAATTTCACGTAAACAATGCAGACAATTTGTCTATTAAACTTACATAAAGACCGTTTTCAGGTTGGCATTTTGTGTGTCAGCTTCATGAATTGTATAATGTGTCTTTTCTAAGAAATTAAAAGCAGAATGTTTGAGCTTCTTCTGCATCATGGCAAGGGTTGAAGTAGTTTCTTATCTTGTTTTTCTGTTTTTTTTTGGGGTTTCTTTTCTAAAATATAACAATTTTCAAACGTCAAAGCCTATAAAGTAACATAAGAAATCATTCTGCACCTTATCACTTGTAATGAAAACGAGTATGTTGCTTGCATTGTATAAACAATTTGAATCCCATAAGAGGAAGATCACCATAGCACTTCTGACCGTCATGGCCAAAAGATACTTATTGATTAATTCACTGGCATCTGCATTCACTACTATCTGCAGTACCTTTGGAATAGTAACTCGTAAATGGTGATTTAAATTCAGTAAGCTCTCCATCAATATTTCATGACTTCTAACATGATCTCATTCTAATGCTTCTTCTCTATAATTGGATGGAGAGGCTTAAGCTAAAACCTCCTAAGCTGTAATTAGAGTGCAGAAGTATCTAATAAGCTTGATTACTGTCGTTTTGACTGAATATGATATCTTCTATTGATCATGCATACATGTTTTTTTACTTTGTTCTTACGTGAATAGTTAAGTATATACACACATCATTTGTAGTGCAACAGAAAATAAAGTCAATTCTTGTTAATGCCCCAAGGACTGAAGAAAGACCAATTGATTCTGCTGTCTGGAATTCTTGGAAATCAAGAAGCCTCTCATATTTTCTAGACAAGAGAACTATTAGACTGGTCTCAGGTGCCAGCCTGCTGTTTTCTGCCCCTAAGAGCCAATGGATTCAAGTGTTTCAGAGGATGGATATATCATCTCAACTTGAAGAGAGTTTGTGTGAAATAGTTGTAAGTCAATTCATCTATCTTTTCAAAGATTCTCTCCTTCAAATCTTCTGTTTTGAAAATGTTTTTATTTTGTTTCCTTGACGGTGTCCGGGCAGCTTGCTCACCTTGACTATTTCATCCGGCACCTGCTACCTCCCACTAACAGGAGGATATTCAAACAATCTAACGGGAATGCATTTTTTTTATTTTTCTAGTTAGAATGGATTGGTCGCATTTAATAAATCAATAATTGTTATGTCTGACTCGCAATTCACTCGGTTTTTGGGTCATAATCATTATATAGGAGAGACTTAGCAGCTACTGAAGATAAAACCTGTTTATTCATTTAAGCCTTAGACATGAGACAAAAAATGGGAGGTGTTTATCATAAATTAGAGAATATTGGTAAGTTCTAATTGCCACCATCAAGCTCTAGGCTTTCTTTTAACATTTGCAAATACTTGAACAACTGAGTGATTATTTTTCACTCTGTTTCTACTTGTATGATGGTGTTCGATTGGACATGGAATTTGAGATACTAATTCAACATGTGTATTGTACTAGTGGTAGTTGGAAAATATATTAATGATGATTGAAAAGTTATTTGAATAAAGGAAACATTAACATCAGGATTTTAAATCTGCAGAGTTAAATGAATTTAAATTGTTGAAAGTTGTGACGGTACATAGAACAATATTATTAATGGAATGGTATTAAACTGTTTGAGACATTCCAAAACAAAATGAGTGTTAAATAAATTGAGATGAAGGGAGTAATTGTTCTAGGTCTTTTTCTGTTTGTTCTTTTCTCGGTTCATAAGTTATTCTATACCTAAAATACATGGTGGGAAATTATTTCAAAGATTACAAGTTCTTACATAATAGAAAAAAAGTATTAATGTAAGTGGTACTAACTAGTTGGTACTGTTTGTTGGGAAGTTTTTTTAGTAATTTGGTTAGAGACTTGCATGCTGGTGTAGGGATCATGGAGAGATTGTAGAATCTCAATTTGCATCAAAAGACAAATTAGCTAAGAGTGGAGTTAACTGGGGCCAACTAGAAGGGAGTAGATAAACAAAATCCGAACTGATTTGGGATCGCAGCGTAATTAATTGATAAGGTATTTTAAACTGTAGGGCTACACCACAATTACCCTGATGCAGATGACTGAAGTTGCATCAGTTCGTTTTGTACTTCTGTTCGTTTCAAGAATATGCACGTACATTTGTTATTCAAGCTCTGTTCTGTAAAAAACTTAACGTGGTTCATGTGATTGTTTTCTTTGATATCTAAAAAATAAGCTATTCCAATTGAATTGTAACACTAATTGCTGTTGCAAATTTTATCTAAAGGTAATTAAATTGATTGGTTGGGCTATTCAGAGTATGGGATTTTCTTGATATGCAGCTTGATCTTCTTTGAGAGAAGTAATTGTACTAATATGTGACTAGTTTTCCTTGTTAAAACCAAACTTCTGCAGGAGCTCGGGTTACTAGCATGTGTAGTGGATAGATGGACTTTTCTGATTGACCGTTTGATGTTGACCTCTTATGAGTTTGTCACCACTTCGAGGCTATACAATGAGGTGCATAACTTGGTCCAGAGAGGTTGTAGAGAGGAAACCATCAACTCAAAGGTAATTATTTTTGTGAAATGAAATCCCTTCATTGTCTAGTATGAAGAGCTGCACGTCAAGCCTATGAAAATAAAATTGCATCGGTATAACTGAAATTGATAGTATTATTTGTTCGTCATACGTGGATTACATGTCTGTATGGATCTAATAATCTAGATAGAGGTTAGATCGTTTTTTCACAATAGTTTATTTTGTTTGTTAGATTATCCCACATTGGATCAGGAGCCTAGGAGCAATGGTGAAATTGTCTCAATGTGACCTATAAGTCACGGATTCAAACTTGGCTTGCCTTTTAGATTATCCCACATTGCTTTAGGAAATATGTTGTTTCCTTATATGGTTTTAGCCAATCATCACCTCATGAACTAGGGTTTAGGATTGAGTTAGGCTCAAACTCTATTTTCCTTACATGGTATTAATGCCATACCCATTCCTATTTCTTGATTTACCCAATGTTGGGTTTGTTTGTCATATTCTCCCCACTCTAGATGTTCATTCCTAGTCGGGGGTGTTACACACATTGGTTGAGGAAATGAGTTGTTGTTTCCTAAATGGTCTTGGGTAATCCTCACCTCGTTAGCTAGCTTTTGAGGTTGAGGTAGGTTGAAGGTCCATTTTCTTTACATTGTCTACAACAACATATCCAATGTAGTCCCACAAAATTGGGTCGTAGAGGGTAGAGTGCACATAGACCTTACCCCTACCTCAGAGATATAGTGACTGTTTCTGGTAAACCCTTGGCTCAAGGAAAAATAGTCCAAAGCAGTCACAAAAAAAATAATATAGTGAAAGTAAAAGAAGCAACAAATAATAGAAAATCGACAGATAGTAACAACAAGATAAACTACAAGAAAAAAGTGATCGTAACAGAAGTTGAACGACAAGAAACTAAAAGAGCAATGCTACGACTCTAATATGAACGGATAGCAAGGCAACACACTGTGACCTACTAACCTTCTACCCAATCCGTGTCCTCTTCACCCTCCTATCTAGGCCATGTCCTTGGTAAGTATGAAAACTGTGCCATGTCCTTTATTTACATTGTCTATAACCTGAACTGTTTTCTTGTTACTTCTTAGTGTACATAAATAACTATGGCAGGAAAACAAAGTGTATCGTACGGACATGATTGTGTTAATTTAGAAGACATAAAATTCATTTGAGAATGAAATTGTAAAGTCTAATTTATACTGTGCAAAAAAGCAAATCTATGATGTATCCAACTATACTTGAACAATCATTGTGTACACACCAAGTTGAGGTTTACTTGTTTGTCGTGCTCGTCTTCAAGTGACACATTACCTGATAGATGAACATTGTACCTCTTTAAGTCACTTTTTCAGCAAAGTTTTTATATCCTTTATATTTTAAGTTTTCTTATATATATCCTGCGGATACTATAACCTGTACAAGTAGCATCTGCAAAATTCCAAAACCAGGCCAGTATGTGAGCATTCACCTCAAGATGTTCAACTTGTTGCTCTAACATGCACCATATCTAAATTTCACTCTTGTGTTAAACCCTAAGGAAAGTAAGCATTTCGTCCAGTTTGCATTCATTGTCAATTTCCACGTTATGAACATTCTTATATTTTTGTTCTCCTTGTGGATGGTTTATATTCCTTTTTTTTTCTCTTTTTGTTGTAATAGGAAAAAGGAATTATTGAGTACCTTGAAGTTTTCTTACACAATCGGCTATATCTCTTGTGGGAACTATCTCCAGTCCTAGCAGCATTTGCAATTCCTTCCTGGTATAGATTCATATCCTGTTGTCTGTTGAGATTTCTCACAGAGAAGTGATCAATCCTTTTACACCAGTCAGCTTACTGACTTTATATTTTTTGGAGTTTATCAATGAATAGCTGGTTTAATTAATGTAGGTCAAATTTGTTCAGAAAATATCTGACAGAGCTTGACAGTCAAGTTACAGGAGACTTTTCATTTACTAGGTACACTTTCATGTCACATGCTTCTGTTGGTTATAATGATCAGCCTTTCCAATATTGAATTTCTTATACTTCAGCTTCTTATCTTGGCGAAGAGCTTTATTCTGCTGATTATTCTACCTTGCCTCTTTTCTTTTATGCAGATCCGATAGTAGTACTAAGGAAAGGAGGAAGTATAGTGAATGTGGGTTTGCTATGATTTCTCTCTCTCATTCTGTACTAATGTTATGTATACATTGATTGACTATGACCATATCCTTGAAAACTATGAACTGAAATGTTTCACAGACTATTTTATCTACTTCTCGAAGGCCTTTCTGCATAGCATTTAGTTAATGTCTTCCATGAAGCCAGGAATTTTTACTAAGTTCAAATTTTATTAGTAGACCTGAGGGAACAATTTCTATTATTTCTGAAACGAACTCTGGAAGGATTGGAAATCAATTTTTTCTTGTTGTAGTTTACTTAAGTAGATAAAAGTCTTCAGGCATAAATAACCTTTCCTGTTTCAGTTACACCTAGATGTAGGTAACATAACTTACCTTCTAGGTCTGAGAAATCTCAGTTGTTTTCTGCCATTAGGATAAAATTAATACCCTTATCAAATACTGGTTAAAAGCTGGACCTATCAGCAGCTCTATATTAAGGCTTATTTGTCTGTGACATCATTTAATATGAGGTCACTAAGTGAAAGAATCTTTCTGGTGGACTACTCGATGATACCTTTCCGGGCACTATAATTTCTCTATGGATATATGGGTTTTCAGAGACCATGTAATGAAATTTGGTTGTTTCTGCTATTTGTCTTCTCATTAGGTTATTCATGTTAGCCTGAACATCTCTTCTGTTTGGAGTATACTACGTACTCCCAGAGCCTGATTTATGTTCAACACTTGCAGGTGATGTTGCTGAGAGAATTTGGTGCCTTCATGTTTGTCATGTTGGTGGTTCTGATGTAGAATCTAGTTGAACTTGACAATATTTTTCTTGAAGGCATAACTGGTAAGCCTTGCTTTCTTAAATGTATTTATTGTGACTATAAGTTTTTTTGCATTGTTTGGAAAATAGCCAAAACATTCTCGCCATAGAGTTTCAACTATTGGTAAGGCGGTGATCAAAGCTGTGAAAGAACTTGGATGGCATGTAGACCTTAGTCATGATAAAACTTAACTAGAAAGTATTTCTATTGTTTCTTGCTGTGCTTGCTTAAGATGGAATGCAAAAGCGACAAGAGAAAACCGTCCCTTGTCCAATAGGTGACCACTCACTTCATGTTGACTGTTGACTCCTTGAAGTAGGATCATCTTTATTATATTAGAAAGTAAAAGGTTCAAGTTGGCTCTCTTCTTCATTCATAGGTCTCACTTTTTCTAATATATTATATCTTTATCTTATTCCAGTTAAAGAACAAAGAAAAGAATAAGAAAAAGGTCAATAAAGCAATAAAGGAAAGCTAAAATAGCGATATAAGTGGATAACAAAGAGAGATGCTGAGGCATTCTATGACACACGTATCCCCTTTTGATCCTTTTTTTTCTATTACTTGTTTAAATATTAGTCCTTCCAATCCAACGATCTATAGTGAAAGAGTTGGCGGAGAGAACTTTTTTATCTTTTTTGCATAGGAGCTGAAGGGAGCCTTCCTTTGACATCATTACAAGCTCCTGTCATAACGATTTTAGATAAAGAAAATGGGATTGTGTTGGTAAGATTCTATCTAATCCTTAATTAGTGCCTTAACTACATCAATAGGAAGAGCTTTTTGTTCTCTTTGAAGTTTGGACGGTCAGGCCCTACAAGAAACAACACACAGCTGTCGCGTTTGGTATGAGAGAGAACCACCTCCACTCACTGCATATATGAAAAGGACATCCAATATAAACGAAGCTGATGCCTACAGATGGAATATATACACTTGAAAAGCACATACATTTTATATTCCTCTTTACACATTCCATTAAACTTGTAATTTTTCGAAGTCCCCTAAAACCAACAGATATCTAAGTACTTTGTTATGTTTGGTAAGCAGGGTAGGGTGTAGGTCAAAAATCTTGATGATGAGAAGTTCAAAGATGATCCAGATGTTGAAGTGGCACGGACGTAGAGTTGCACACAGCAGCTCTGATGTTAGTCTTGAAAGAAGAACACCTGTGAATTGTTTCAAAGGACTTCACATTGCTAGGAAGTTGTATTGGAGGTTAAAGTCACAGTGGAGGCAACTTCTTTCGTGGCACAGAAGTTCTGTTCGATTTAGCTATGATGCTTACAGCTACTCTCAGAATTTCGATGATGGATGCTCCCAGGAACATCGTTCGCCTTTAGCTCCTCGGTAAATTTTCATTTCTCAGGAGTTCATCAGTACAACAATTAGCAAGTTGAGTAGAGAATTTGGTCATGTTTCTATTACAATGCAGTTTTACTTGCAACATATTGTTCTGAATTATTCACATTCCCAGGTTATTAAGTGTGTGTATATATATAAGTGGATGAACTTTATTAGAAGAAAATTCTGCAAGAAGTTTGATAATGGTAATGAGTACAATTTCTCCATTAAAGCATATAGTATATTATAATGTTTGGTTTGATGAACTTTAGCAAAAGAAAATAATAGGTGTATGGATAGCAAATGTGGGCCTCAAGTCTATCTAGTATAACTTCTTTTCAAGGCTACAATTAATGGGATTATTGATGGAATAATAAACAGTTGAACACCCTTAAGATTGATTTTGGGTCATTTTTATCTTACCAGTAACTTCAGAAAATGAGATAAGATTGATATGTTACTCTTAAATGTTTGAATAATTTTAATTCTATGCTATGTTGATATTGATGCAACTAATTAAATTGATTTTTATAAAAGCTATTGGGGGAAAGAATAAATAAATTAGAACTATTCCAATAAATAATGATATGGCAAAAAATGAGTCACTCAAATAATCTATGATTATAATGGATACTGAATGATTAAAGTGAAAAAGTAGTGTACGTGTCACATGAAGCTGCTATTTTGAAAAAAAGAAAGAAGAAAAAAACAGAGAAAAATCTATCCACGGCACTTGTGATGCATCAATAATGCTCTTGCACTTTTGCTAATATGGTAACGGATAATTAATTTCGAAATTAAATTTAGGATAAATTTATTTTTATAGTAATTGAAATAATTTATTTTGATATTGTTATGTTATTTTCATTTCATATAGAAAATGGGATAACAATTTAAGAACAATTATTGTTATATATATATCATAATTATAATAAATTATCGAGTTAAAATGTCAAAATTTCATTTTTTATAAGGAGATTTAATTTTGTTGTGGTATGAATTATAATCTATTGATCCAATAATATATCTCTTGACTTGTTTCCATCAAGTGTCCAACTACGTCCGGTAAATACGTTTTGAGACAACTCGTCGAAGATAACAATTATGGTTAGAGGAGTTACAAAAGATTATGCCATCACTTTCTCCACTTTAAGCCTACTAATTAATATTTAAATTTCTATTATTAAAATGCAAAATATCATTAATAATATCTCTAACACAACTTATTTCCAATCAAACAACAATATCCTTCTTTCCCTCGACACGACTAATAAAATTTCAAAATTGTTAGGTATCTATTTAGTCTATGGTGGTTCTCATATCCACTCTTTTATTCAAGAAACATTGATTATATAATCCGTTATTTATGTTATAATATTTGTTATATAATTTTTCATGAGAGATTAGTAAAAGAACAAGCAAGATCTATAAATAAAAAGATATTAGGTGATATAGGGCAGAAAAGGAACACATATTTTCCTGTTTTATTGCCCTATAACTAGTTCAATCTACAATTAGGTTAATTGTTTTCATTTTCTACGAGTAGAAATTGTCGATTTTGAAATTATTCTACCTATCTACGGGTTCGATCGAGTTCAATAGATTTTGCTCATATAATATGTATATATGTATACAAATTAAATTTAGAGCTCGATTATTATTACTTACAAATGTCAGACATCATAAAATTGAAATCCCAACTCCGTCTTCTGACTATAATGATATACTTTTTCCAACGAAACAAAACAAAATAATATTCTTTATATTATTAGTATAACTTAACCTTTTATAATATTTTCGTTACCATCTCAATCATATGGTAATGTTAAGTATAAAGATTTACCTATAATATAATTACCATGAAAATCGAGCCAAAGATATGGAAGAGGAACAAAAAGGAAACAAATATATATTTTTTCTTATTCTAAAGCCAACAATATATGGAAAACATTACTTAGTAGACAAAAATAATATAATTAAGATCTTCTATTAATTAGAGCCACCTTATTTATGCTCTTATAATACTTTGCTCAAACAAAACAATTAATCTCAGTTAGAAGGTAATTAATCTTACTTTGCTTACATCTTTGCATTTCTACGAGTTAGTGATCTACAAAAATATTTCTTCTGAGTTAAGAGTCTACTATAATCAGATTGATTATCTATCTCAAAGGTAAAAATATATAATTTGCGTACATTTTATTGTTTATTAAATCTCCTATGAGATTTCGTGGAGTATGTTATTATTGTTCTATATATTATAGTTCAAAACTATGCTATTTTCGTCAATCTATGTTCTTCTTTATTGGTTATTGTTTCTTATTGATAAATTTTTCGTTTGATGATATTCAATAAAATATTATGGTGTTTTTAGCTTGGCATGTCTCTTAAAAACTTATATTACTTTGTAGGAATGAGTCGTTTCTTTGAGGGGTGTACGATAACTTAAATAAAATCACTTATTTTGAAATGAAGGAATAGTAGTTATTATAGGTAGCTTCTTATGTAACTTTATTTAAATACTAAAATTTTATTTCTACAAAATTGAAAAATCTACCTTTTTGATTTCATTTTTTTGAATGTTTGCTACCTATAATTTATACCATACTGTATTGTATTGTACTGTTTTATCGAATTCGAATGAAGATTGAAAAACATACTTCAAACTTCGCAGCTAATTCAACAAATGAATATGGAAGAGTACTCTTCATTCATGGTAAACTTTGTACCTTAATTTTCTCATAAATATCGTATTATATTGTGTTATATGAAATTCACATGTGATTGATTTGTTTCTATCTTTTACGCAGACATGTATTCTAAGGATTAATATCAACGCTGATAGATGGCAAAGGACTATTGCCAAGGTGTTGAAAAACGTAGACGGTATTTCTTCAATACTTTTTAAGTATCTTTTTAATCATCGATATATATAAGTTAAATTCGTCTAAATTGAGATTATTCTCTGAACAGTGACAAATTTTAGAATGAACACAGATGGGACAATGGAGTTATCTGGAAGTGTGTATCCAGATAAATTCTTGAAAATACTAAAAAAAGCAAGGAATAAAGCAGAGTTATGTCATTTGCAATTTGGACAGTGTTCAACTAACTTGTTTTTACCTTCAAGGCCAATTGATTATAGCATTGGTAGTAATAAATTTGGAGTACCAAATAACATGTTGCTTTCTAGTTTTGTTGGACAAATGGAAGATAATCAGACAGGTTATTACGGTGGAAGAGATGGTAGATTTTTGCATTACGGTGATAAACCTTCACAATCAAAAAGTGAAAAGTCTGACGACCACGACCACAAACACAACCATAACCACGTCCACGGACATGATCATAACCACGTTCACGGACATGATAATCACAAGGACAGGAAATTAGAGCATGCTGCAGGGTGTATCAATGCTACAACTCAAAGGACAAAACTGCAACTTGATTCTGAGAAAGGGAAAGTAGAGACACTAAAGAGTCAAGGAGTTAATAGTTGCTGTTTGATGTGATAATTAATCTATATACATTTAGGAAATTAAATTATTTACTATATGCTCTAGGTTTAGTATATTTTTTTTGTGCTCATTTTAGGATTTCTCTTTTTGGAACATATCAAATATATGTTGGGAGTTATAATTATTAATTAATTCTACCTTAATTTATATTACTACAAATTAGTAGTTTTGGTCTTAAAACTTTTGAACTCACAATCTAAGGATAGGAAGTAAGGGGTGTTTACTCGCTTACCATCCAAGCAACTATCTCTCGTCAAATTCGACTTGATTTGTTGAAAGAAATCAGACAACCATTTGATCAATGCCTTAGCTTCCTCAGAAGTTGGCTTAACCAAATGAAAAACATGTTCTTCCCCTTCTGTTTCCTTAATTTCAACTTCCATCCACATTTCTTCATGGCTTCATAGTATGTCCAACCTCTGTCTTTTTCCTCCAGTACTTATCAAAATCTTCGAGCAAACAAGCTTCGATAGTAAACTTGGATGTACTGCTGGATTAAATCGCGGATCATCAGTTCTAGGATTTTCCGCACAAATTGGATCTGGCTCATTGCTCCTGAAATAAGGATGAACTAACACCATTTCCAACAAGGTTTATACTATCTCCGAGTTTATATTCATCTACACTTTCTCGCATCATCATGTTATGAGCAATATTGGCTCCTGCACTATCACCTGAAGTGACAAAAATCAAATACATTTTTCAGTAAAACAAAATTATTGCATCAAAACAAGTCGAAACAGGTAAACCTGATTGATCAAAATGCATAAAATTTACATTCAAACTTAAACTGTTAGACTCTCGAAATTCTAACTATACGGCATGAAATTGTGATAAGGGAAGTATTAGTTTTCATATTTTTGTTCCAAAGGCATAAAAAATTATGAAGATTGAATCAATTTGGGTGGATTGTAACTCAGTTCTAAAAGTTAGCTAATGATGAAACATTTGATCAAGTTTATATAAGCAAACTACCTGTTTATAACCCGACTCTGATACCATGATGTGATATGACAAGTAGATCTAATTCAATTCGAAAAACTAATTTATAAGATCGAAGAGAATTGCCCAAATCTATATGAACAAACTACTCTAATAATTGATCTGACCCATATTCAATTCAACCCAATATACCTGACAAGAAAACTCGTGAGAAGTCCGCATGGCTTTTCAACCCAGGTAAGGGATATTCGGTATAAAGAAAAATATTTTTTTAAACAATATGGAGTT